TTTTTCTCTGTTTTTCCTTTTCTTTCTTCTTTTGGGTTATTTGGACACAGTTTTGAATTTCACTTTATTTTTTTCTATTGTATTTTTTTACAAACTTTTGTGTAGTTTGTTTTGTTTTGTAGTTGTTATTCTAGGGATTACAGTATACATATTTAACTATTCAAAGTCTATTTAGAACCACTTCGTGTGGAATGTAGAAATTTTATTGCATATTATGGAAATTAATTACACTATTCTGGAGATACTAGTAAAAGGGGCAAAAATAAGAGGTAAACAAAATGAAGAGAATAAAAATCATTATTTGTGGATGACATATTTATTTACCTCAAAAATACAAGAGAACTAGAAAATTACTATAACTTTTAGGAGAATTCAGTTAGGTGACTGGGAGCAAAATTAAAATACAGAAATCAACAGCCTTCATATGTAAAATAATAGTTGTATGCAAGATACAATGAAAGAAAACATTAAAAATCCAGGGATATCAAGAAATGTATAAGAATTATACAGAGGAGTTTTCAAAAGGTGATATACACGCTCACATTGAAGAAATGGAAAGTTATTTCATATAAGTTTTTTGCATCAGTATGAAAGCAACTGAGATAGTTAATGATATACTTGGCTAAGGAGCCAGAAGAATGAGCTACCATCTGTGCGATTAACATCTAACATGTTAAGAAAGCTGAATCCCCCTAAATTGGAAATTCAGTTCATCCCAGTAGAAATAATAAACAGGATTCATTGTTTTTTGAAAATTCAGAAAAACTGATTCTAAAGTTCACATAAAAATTCCCATAAAGTTCACAATAATAATCATAAAAATAATGAAGAAGAGCACTAAACGAAAATTATTCCTACAAGATAGTAAGGCCTATTTTAAAGCTACAATAATTAAAACAGTGTGGCACTTAGGTCATGAGTCAACAGTTCATTGAAATAGCTATAAAAGCCAGATATAGACTAGAAACAAATCAGCAAAGAAAATGTGGATTACACAATATATAATATTGTAATAAGCAGGCAACCATTTGAAAAAAACTAAGTTGAATCCTTAGTTCATATTTTATAGCAAAATAAATTCTAGGTGGCTCAAAACTTTAAGCACAAAACTACTAGAAGAAATAATGAGGGATTTAAACATAATCTCAGAGGTAAGGCTTTCCACATGTAAAACAGGTAGAACAAAAAGAGAGAAGCCATAAAAAAAAAAACCCTGGTAATTCCACCTGTATTAAAAAAAAATCTACAAGGTCAACTAAGCTTCGGGGTCTGGGGTTTTTATTGGGGGCTCACTAGATAGGCACCATCGATGAAATCATTGACTATGGTTGACCTTCATCTCCACCCCTCTTCCTTTCTTCCCAAGTCAGGCTGATATCACTGATGCAAATACAGGGGGGTGTGACTCACCCCCCCCATCTAATTATGTGGTTCTCTAGTGGCCAACCCTCATCCAGAATCCTCTCCTGAGCGTAAGCTATCAGGTTTCATCATGACTAACGAAGACACTTCTATCACTCTGGAAATTCCAAGGATTTAGATCCTGGGAAGGACTTGGGGGCTAGAAAAGGAGAGAACTGGTAGGAGAGAAAGAGGGCCAGGAATAATTTTTATCCCAAGGGAGGCTACCAGCAATAGCAAAAAAAAACAAACAAACTGGAATCAACAATGTCCAGTAACAAAGTACTAATTTAAAAAATTAAAATACATTCATATAATGGAATTCTATGCAAGTGATGAAGATGGGCCAACTCTGTCAGTAGGGATAGATTGCTGAATGTGCAAAACTTTCCGTATGGCATGCCCCAAGCTGGATTTCATATATATGCATATTTATATAACCCATGGGGCCGTCTCTAGAAAAATAAATAAGAAACCGATAATAGAGTTTGGATCCAGGGAAATGAGTGGCTGGAGGACTGCTTCTTTATCCTTCTCACCCTCCCGATTTTTGGACAATGTGCACATGATTACCTATTTAACAAGGCTGAAACATCTCAGTGGATTTGCACATTTTTCTGAGCCTACTAAATATAGTTTATAATTTAATTTTTTTTGAGTTGAACACTTGGAAAATATTTTTGTTGTTCAAGTAACAGGTGTCTCCACCCCCCCCACTCTCCCCCGCCCCACCGACCCCCACCTCCCACCCATAATATCCTACCCACTTTCTGCTTTGTCCTTTATACACGCTCCTTGGCGGCCCTTCCTCTTCTTTCCCTGGTGACCACCTCCCTTTCCCCCCTGGTTACTGTCAGTTTGTTCTTTATTTCAACATCTCTGGTTGTATTTTGCTTGCTTGTTTGTTTTGTTGATTAGGCTCTACTTATAGGTGAGATCATGTGGTATTTGTCTTTCATTGCCTGACTTATTTCACTCAGCATAATGCTTTCCAGTTCCATCCAAGCTGTTGCAACGGGTAGGAGCTCCTTCTTTCTTTCTGCTGCATAGAATTCCATTGTGTAAATGTGCCATAGTTTTTTGATACAGTCACTGATGGTCACTTACAGTAGGTTGCTTCCACCACTCAGCTATTGTAAATTGTGCTGCTATGAACATTGGGATGCATAGGTGCTTTTGGATTGGTGTTTCAGGCTTCTTTGGGTATAATCCAAGCAGAGGAACAGCCGGGTCAAAAGGCAGATTCATTTTTAGTTTTCTGAGGAAATTCCATACTGTTTTCCACAGTGGCTGCACCAGTCTGCATTCCCTCCAACAGTGCACTAGGGTTCCCTTTCCTCCACAACCTCTCCAACACTCGTTGTTTGTTATAATTTAATCTTTCCATTAAGGCCATTGTCATGAATTATATTAAGCAATAAAGCTCCAAGTGTCTAGTAAAGAACGTAAGACCGTTTTCATCCACACGAAATGTCTCCAGGCTACTGTGGGTGGTGTCTCACTTTTAGTCTGTCTTCCCCCATCTGCCTTTTTATGACTGTCAACTATTTTTCCTCTGACTGAAACTTCTCTTAAATTGGGTGCGTTTAGTGGTGATGGGCCAAGAAACCAGACGTATGGTCCTAATACTGTATAAGAGGGAAACCGCCCCTTAGCTTAAGGAATCCTCTCATAACTGATGAGGCTGGGAGATTAGACTTTGTAATAACTACTTGACTACTCACAATTTTTGCATAACTCTCAGTTCCATATAACTGAATAAAGAACAGGGGAGGCATTATTGAAGTCACAACAGGAGATTCTATTATTTGATAATGCTGTATTGCTAAGTACATGTCTGGAACTCTTTTTCATTCATTCAAGCTATTTTTGGAGCATCTAGTGTAACCAGAGAATGTTCTAGGTGCTAGGGATGCAGCAATGAACACCACAGACGATGGTCAAAGTCCTGCAGAATTTAAGCCAAGTGCCACAGAGAAAGGGGCTAATGCAACAGAGCAGTTAGGATGAGGAAGCGTTAGATAGGATGGCATTTCAGTGAGGGGCTGACCAGAAGAGGAAAACCACTAGGATATCACACACACACACACACACACACACACACACACACACACACACACACACACCCATCTTTTGTATATGAAGTAAGGGATTTATCACAGAGATTATAGGAGGCTGCTCCTTTTGTGTCTGGCGGGTGGGAAAGGAAGACAGATGTGAGAGGGGGATGCAAGGGCACAGTGGAACCCGCCAGGGTGAGCACAGTCCATGAGGGCCGAGTGGAACTCCGGCCAGTGTCTGTCTCCACGCCTCCGACCTCCACAGCGGATTGTCCTGGCGCCCTTTGTCATGCAGTTAGACACACAGCTGGCCCGGGAGTCAGGATAGCAGCTGGCACTCCCGTGGGCCCAGCTGCTGGCCCACAGGCCAAGATGGCCCAGCAGGTAAGCAACCTCGTGGGTGAGCAGCAAGTGTGTGCCTTGCTTGGACCTTCTAATTACACAAAGAACCGGATCTACCCACTCCTTCTCAATCCAGCATCAAACATTTCTCGTGGCCCATGTACCCTGGACTTAAGCAGGGAGAGAATTCTGAACAGTGTATCTCCAACTTACTTACATTTGCAGCAACAAAATCCCCCGGATGGTCAGTGGTCTCTAGAGATACTGCAGCTGAGAGCCTGAAGAATGAGGGTTCGGCCATGTGACCATGCCCACAATTGGAAGAGTATTTCAGGCAGGAGAGAAAGTACAGAGGTCCTGAGGCCATGGTGGAAATGAGGCTTTTTTTAATGATGAGGCGGGGGCGAGGGGAGAGGGAGAGCGGTTCAGAGTGACGAGACCGGACTTACAGGTGGCGGCCAGGTCTCGCGGGGCCTAGTGGGGCAGGGTAGTGAGTGGGGACAGCTTTCGTGTAAGTGCAATGGGAAGCAAGCAAACACACAAAAACCCCAAAGGCCTGTCATCACTAAGTTATTTGAAGAGAATGTTTCACAGATGATTTCAGATTTTCAAAGACTGTCCCGCGAATGTGCAGCCTCCTGAGGGAAACAGACCGAAGGGGCCGACACGCATGTTACCGAGTAGGCCCTACTCTGGCTATGCTGGAGTCGGCTGTGGACTCGCCTGTCTTCTCCTTCCATCAGCCTTGGCTTGCTTTGCTTGAGATCATGAAAAATTCTCCTACAGCAAGCTCTGCTGCCTGGACTGTCTCCCCCTGCCCGCAGTGCTGCCTGGGTAGAAGCCAAGGAGCAAACAGTGAGGCGTGCTGAGGTGCACACCTGCTCAGGCAGCAGCTCACCATCCGATACGTGTCCATAAAAATTCAACATCTTCTGCACCTTTCTGAGGGAAAGCACCAAAATGCCTCTTAAAAAAAAAAAAAAAGAGCTCTGGACACACCATTCATCCTCTTTAAGAAAAACGTAAAAATAAATTTTAAAAAAGCATTTTTCTGACAAAGTGGAAACATTTTGATCTTTTTGAGTGCACACTCATCCTTCTGAAATCTGGAATGACTCAGCTCCATGCAGACGTTCAGGAAAAGGGAAATCCTGTGCTGTGACTTATGAACTGTAAGTCTGAGCTCTTTTTACTAAACTTTATTAACAACTCTTTTATACATTAATCACGAACAAGTAAATTGTTTTACTTCATTTAACAATGGCTCTTGAATAACAAAATAAATTATCGGCAAATTCAACCATAAATTAAAAAATAAAGTAAAAACACCTGTTAAAGTTTCCTAAATGCAAGCACAGGACTATATTGCATATATACTGATTACAGTTTCTATGTTCTTTGTAAGGTAACATGAACATCAGTCCCTTCCCATTGTTGCAAGTTCACAAAATTCATGAAAACCCTTCCCTTGTTTTATCAGCTGAAATGAACTGCACTTCAGTTGGACACAAGAGACAAGAACCGGTGTTATTAGTGGGCAAAGAAAAGGTCATGACCACTCGGCAGATCACGTAAGCCTAAAATATACCCCAGACTTCTAGTCTCAACCTGTAGCTCTCATGTGTTAGCTAATTTACAAAGAACTGCTAGAGATGATTTAATGAGCAGGCTGAACTTTGTCGCTTTGACATTTTGCTAGTGACTAATCAAAAATAAATACATTTTCGCCTATAAAATGATACAATACTATTCATTTCCAGTAAGACCAGGTGTCAGGGCAAACAAGGTAGCCATGGATATTTTTAAGTTGTGCTACATTATTTTCACTATTTAATTAAAAAGTTTAATGACCAGATCAGCGCACCATTTATTACTTAAAAATATAATGCCTCTGAAAGTAGATTTAAGACGTTTTAAAAAACAAGCCAGAGGTAAAAATGAAAAGACCCGAACAACCTCACAGCCGGAAACAGAGTCACTTCCCATCAGTCACTAATGGGAAAGCTCACTCTGTACAGCAGGCACCCACAACCAGCCAGCGAGTCCCCCCACAGGCACTGGGCAGAGGGCACTTCGCCCCACACTCCGTGCTGGGCATCACGCACAGAAGGATGTGGCTTTATTACAGAAGTTTCAAGATGGCAACTACTTGGAGTCCAGTGCCAATACGGATTAGAACAAATCCAGTGAGTATTTTGTTTTTCAATTATTCATAGAAAATTTAATCCTGATTAAGTATCGTTGGGCAGGAATTTGTGGGTAGTTGATGACTGAAACCAACATTTATGTGAAGTGTTTCTGTTAATTTAATCTGTGTATATGGCTTAATTATAATTGGGGATTCAATGTTAAGAGAAATGAATTATATCGGGATTAAAATTTTAGTAACATATCACACAGTACTCTTTTCTTCTTTTTAAATATGTAAACCTGCTTGTCCTTTCACCTAGATACTCAGATTTTAACACCCTTTGTCCTTAAAACACACAGAATGTATCTAATTTTATTTTTCATAAACTGTCAAAAACTCTTTGCTAATTGAAGTAAAACCCAAATTAGAGCCAAAGAGATAGAAGAAAGCAGAGAAAAACCCCACCCACAAATAAACAGATGCTTATTCATTTAACTACCAATATACCTGGTATTTATTTTCTGAAGCCTTTTCAATATTATTTTGAAGCCATTTTCAATTCCTTTCAACTCCAATGTGAAATGCATTTTCTTTAAAGCATAAAAAGCAGTTCAGATCAGTGTACTACACTGATTCCATAGCTGGACTTAGCTATGTATAAGCAAGTAATCATTTAACTGATTACTTTTTATAAGACTCTCAAACCTGAGTTAACTATTTGACATGAGGCATTGTAAGTGGTGAATCTCTTACCAAAATATCATATAATTCTTTTCATCTTTATTTCCACATGGAAATTGCATAAATCACCTTATAACCATACTCTTTCTTTAAATTTTATTCAGTATTTTTCAAAACATTTCATTTATTACCTGTTTCAGTTTTGGTACTGCTTAAATGCAGTCGTATAAATAACCTGCTCTACCTCCCATGTTCAATTTTTCATACTATAAGTATGAAAAAAAGTCAGAATTTGGATCCTTATTGCACTCTGTTCACTCTTCCTGTAAAGCAAACCAAGTATCAGAAGTGAGGCCGGCCCTTGTGCCCAGAGGGTATGGCCAGCGGCAGCGTCACCGAGGACAGCGAGGACACTTCCCAGTACAGGCTGTGGGACAGAAAGAGTCTGTACAGAACCACCATGGAGACGGCCTGGCAAAGGATGACGCCCATCGTAACGACCTGGAAAGGCGAGAGGAGACTGATTTCACTGCGTGCCAAAACAGAGACTCAACTGATCACAAACCGATACACGTTGTACTGTACATACACAGGCAGGGTGGGGTAAAAGCAGATCTGCAGTTGTTCATATAGAAAAATAATGCAATGGTTGGTAAATAACAAGAATGAACCATGTGTTTCCTGTACTGACAACTATAAACCTACTTCTGCCTCACCCTGCGTATCTGTACAACCTGCCCTCCATCTTCACCTTGGGCGCATTTTGTGATACGTTTCCCATAGAGAAATATAGCTAATGTTCAGAACTGTCATTGTGCGAAGACGAGATTCTCTGAACAGCTTAGAGATGCGAAAATAAGACACCGGAGAGTAACTCGCTGCACCATCCCCCCTCTGGTGCTGCGGTGCCACAGACAGCGAGGAAGAAGCCGGGTGCTCGGCCCCCCAGCAACAGGCAGACAACACCCCCCCGCCCGCACCTGAACAGCACTCCCGAAGTCCTCTCAGAAGTCCTCAAGTCGCTCCTCCACTTTTGCAGACTGCCCTCCTGTTTACCCTTTGTAAACAGGCTCCAGGCGCTGCCTGCCTTCAAGTGCACATTGCACTGCCCCCAACGGCCCCGGCCGAGCTCCGAGTGGAAACGAGGGGGCCACTCACCTAACAGAGTGTTACAGCAACAGCATCGAGTTTTATAATTCTCTCTTGATTTTTACCATCAGGCAGAACAGAACTTTGCCATTTTTTCTTAAAGATGTGTTATGAATTCTCTGATTTGTAAAATGGCATTATAAAATAGGCTAAAATATGAATAACAAAGCTATTTTCCATCATTTTGCTCATAAACTAAATGGAAAATTTTGTCTTTCATATTTTAAAACTTCTAAATTACATACTTACCAGTTCAGTATTTTGTTTCAACGTTTTATTGGAAAGAACCCAAGAAGCCTCTGAGAGGACAAAAGCCGCTCAATAGAGGCTACCCAAAACCACTCTGATCATTTACCCCACTCACCTTATCTCTCTGGTGGTCGTTACACACGGCAGAGACACATGCAAGCACCGGGTGGCACAAAAACCACAGGACGCAGCCCTGAAACAGACGAAAACGAGTCAGGTAAGTGCGCCTACAGCTTTACCTCCAGAATGTTCCGGATAAAACTAGAGTGGCGTATTTCAGAGGTCCTGACTGACCTCAGTTGGACTTTAGAGAACTTGTAGAACTTGAGAAAAAAATGTAGAAGTAAATTTGCTGCTGCTGTGATGTTAACTGTAAACTGTATTCCATTTGTTTTAGAAAATTAAAATTCTGATACTATAGAAGAATGTAAAATCCCCACTGGCGAAGGAACCGTGGGCCAGGCAAAACTGACCTGCCGAAAGTGGGAACCACTGTCCCATGGGTTCTGCAAAATGGGGACAATGCCACCTGCCCTCACAGGCCGGGGAGGAAGGGAGACGGTGGGGGGGCTGGCCAGTGGCTGCCGGCGTGGGCTCGCTAAAGGAAGCGGACAGTCGGAAGCTGCTGTTGTCTGAGAGACCCCTACTTTGGCAAAGGTGACGTAGAACTCCCTTTTCAGCGTGCTCCTCTCCACCACGACGATCTGGTAGAGGCCACAGCCTAAGGACAGCGCTAGGCAGACCCTCAGAACGAGGAGAAGGGTCCCTGCCAAGTTGTGGTGGGAATAGTGGCTGTGAGGACTGGTGTCTTCAAACTGCTCCCAAAGTAGCAAAATACTCTGCAAAAAAAAAAAATAATAATAATAGTAATACACTTACAGGAAAAAAGTCACACCTGTTTACAATGAAGTACTTTTTCAAGTCCTTTAAACATCCCTTTACACACATCAAGGTTCTAAGAGGTTCTAAGATTCATCAGAGGATAAAGCTGTCAATCAATAAAGCAAGGGCAGTTCCTTCTTTGCAGACACCCTGAGTAGAGAAACTGGATCATGGAATGAGACCACACACAGAAGATAAAGAACTCCGCTGCTCCCTTGACTCGAGTAAGACATTCATGAAGGTGCCAAGAATTGAAAAGATTAAGAGAACAAATAGCAACTTTTTTCTAAATCCATCTTTTTCTTATTTCAACACCTTATTAGAAATCAAACTGTTCTGCATTGAAGCGTATTATCTCCAGGTAACTTTCAAGTATCCGAGTATTTTTTGTGATCCAGAAATTAACAAGTCAGAACTGCTAATTTCAGATTTCCTTCCTTCTCCATGGTCAGCTCCCTGGGTAAAGGAGCGTATATTTTTAATATTCACTAACAGTGCAGTTACTTATCCTTAGTTGTTTTTCTCCCATGTTGTTACTGTAACAGTACAAAACTCAGCAAGCTGCTCTGTTTACTGCTACTCACTAGAAATCTGCATCCCCATTCCCTCCATCTTTCCCAACGCCAATCACTTACATACATAAATTACTCTAATGTCTTCACCATCACAAGTCAGTAGCCTTCTGCGCTTTTTCACACACCAACTCAGACCTCAGAGTTGCATCTGCAAGTGGCTTCCAGGAAGTGTGTTAATTCCAGTCCTCAGACTCGGTGGAGTATTCCAGCAGCCTCTTCCTTTTCTCAATCTCGGAGCTTCCACGCCAGTTCTGGTCTTGCCACGGTTCCTGACTGGGGAGCTCCTTAGTCTCCTGGCACATCTGGATTTCCCTGCTGGACTGAGTACTCGCTCCCGATGACTGGAAACACTCCTCTTCCACTCCACCAAATTACACCCATGAGATTTCTTATCCTACCTTTCTAAACTTAACTTTGACAACGGAAAAGTGCACAGCACAGAATTACCATTTCCTGCTCTCTCTCTGAGGTTGTGAATTTATCTGTGATCATCTTACAGTGTACATGTCCATCAAAACATCAAGTTGTACACCTTAAATACACACAATTTCCACTTGTCGGTTATACCCCAATACAGCAGGAAAAAACCCTCCCGATTCCCATGACTCACTTCTTTACCGCTCAAATGCCCATATTTCACACACATGTGCAAATATGTGACCTGTAAAATGTACGCATGCATTCACACAGTCTCTGGTCTCCCGCAGCGCTCGCCTTGTCTGGGTGGTTGTACCTGGGCCCTGTCCAATGTTCTCTTCATGAATGCTCACCTTCTAGGGTAGTGTCAGAACCTCAATTCTTAATTTGCATTTGTCCATGGTAATGAATTTAAATGACAAAGAAATAAGAATTCAACTTTTAAAACAGCTTTTAATTGAGAAATGAGATTCTAACACTACTCTCCACAAATCCTGAATCAAAAACATTAAGTTGGCAGAATCTTGCCCTTATTTTAGTAACTTCTAATTCAGTTCTTTCTCATCAGCCCTTACCCCCCGGCATTATCTCCTGTCTCAGCATCACTACCTGCGATGCAGTCTAAAACCAGTCATGCGGATTCAGTACAACCGCTTCACTCAGCAACTACTATCTGCTCTCCTTGCTAAATACAGACCTTACCGTTTATTAATCCTGCAGTTTACTTAATGCATTAAAACTTAGATTATAATGCCCTTTACAGAGCCCATGTATATATTTCATTTTCATCTATAGTCAATGATGGTTACAAACTCAGTGCCAATTTCTATGTTTGTACCTTTCTCCTTAATTTCTATGAATCCACTGCACACAGGCATGTGGAGATCCCAGGTAACCTCTCGGACTGTCACTATGGGGGGAAAAAAGCATACAGGGCCTTTCTAAAAGACCAACTTTAGCCCTGGATTGAGTGTTGGCCTGCGAACTGAAGTGTCGCTAGTTTGATTCCCAGTCAGGGCACATGCCTGGATTGGGAGCCAGGTCTCCACTGGGGGCCACACGAGAAGCAACCACACATTGATGTTTCTCTACCTGTCTTTCTCCCTCCCTTCTCCTCTCTAAAAATAAAATCTTAAAAAAAAAGAAGACCAAATTTGTTTCTGTAATGGTTTTCATGAACAAAAACAAGACCCATTTTTTTAATTCTACATTCTACTTTTTTCTTGATCTCAGATATTAACTTGAGTTGTTTCATGTATAAAGTGTAGAAATGAACCTAAAGATCCTTGCCAATGGACGAATCTCAGATGCATGGACTCACTCATTTTGAGTATTTAATATGTGTTATAACATATGAAAGAAAACCACTAAGTAGAAAATAAGAATCTAACCTAATGTGAAACATACTGCACTTGACTAAGCTGACAGGAAGCTCAAATTCAGGTACCTTACAAAAATTCAGATTACTTAATCCGTCTGTCTTCAAATTCACACTTTAAAATCCGCCTGCACAAGTTACTCACAGGCAGCAAGTCTCGTTCTGAAACGGGCTGTGTAAATGTGCGTCTCTGAGTCCGGCACAGAAGCCCCGAGAGCTCATGCTCACCTGTGTCGTGACGATGACCACGGCGATGCCGGTGGATGCAGGGGTGGAGTCCCACTGCAGAGGTCTGCTTTGAGACTTCTTCATTCTGCCTATGGTCCAGCCCATGCACAGACTCAGGAGGAGGTATAACATTTGAATTTGGGAAGCGATGTCAAAAACTGATGGGAAAGGAAAACCAAAGTTAACCAAGTGTTCATAATACCAAGAGTGCAGTCCTTTTGGAGTTGAGAATATATAATTATTTTTTAACCACAAAAAGTTGGGCATTTTCAAAGAGAACCGATACAATTCAGTAATAACAGGTATTCATATATAAGATTGTAAAAAAGTAAAATTTTGCCACTGAATTTGTAAGCATTCATTAGAACAGTGAAAATAATGGCACTGCTCCTATTTTAATGTATGTACAGGTATATGTATGCCCTGAACACATCTTTATTAAGATAAACTTTAAATCTCTGTGTGTTTCCCATTTTTCCTAGCTTCTCTAACTACATCATCCTGCTGTCTATACCTCAACTGCTTATTAAAGAAGGCAAATTTTAAATATAATTTCTGCCATGTACAGAATACTGGCACCTTCCTTTCTCAGTTGCTAATTTTTTTGATGTCTGGACCTCAAAGTGAAGATCATTTTCTAAAACCATTCATAAGAAATCGGACGACAGTAGCACGCAGAGCGGCAGTAACGTCCAGCGGTGCTCGGGGACCAAGTCCTGAAGACTCAGATGAAACACTGCAGGCGCTAGTGCGCTGCGCCACCAGGCGGCCGTCCTTCGCACTGCAGGGCCAGCCGGCTGCCGTGGGGATTGGGCAGCCCTACCACCTGCACCCAGTTCAACAACCATCTATAAAAACTTCACGTTCCACGCATATTTATTTTGGAAGATAGTATTTATTAATTCTAAAAAAGTCCCTCTCTCATCACAGTGTATTTTCATTTAGCTTTTAGAGTAAACGTGATCATAATTTAACAAAATAAACCTTTTTCGAATTGCCATCCGTAACTTTGAAGTGCACAACTTGTACTTCCTTTTATATAAAGATGTTCTTGAAGAACAAAATAAAACTAGCTACAGTATAATACTTGTCTTTAAAAGTGTCAAGCCAAAAACCTATGAACAACGTACCTTTTCATACACAGTTTGACATATTTTCCCCCTACTCTGCCACCCAAATTAAAACTGCATTCTCTACATTTAAGCTTATGTATTTATAGTAGTGAATTCTGACAATGAACTGTCATTACATTTGAATGATACAAAATGTCGTGGCATTTCAGATCAAGCAGAGTTTTATTTCACCACAGATTTTAAATGACTGTAATGTCAATCATATCTGTTCAACGTTTCACAAATACATATTCAGTTACTGAAAGAAGTTATAGGCAAAGAAATATTCCTACATAACTTGTTAATTTTCAAAACCGAATACCTGGGGGGTAAAGACACCCGATTTGCCGGTGCATTTCTTTATATACTAAGTAATGCACATACTGGTGTAATGCTGTAACTTTGAGGGCAGGTAGAACACTGCTTACCTGTTGTTGAAGAATAACTAATTGTAGGTACAATACACAGATCACACAAAAAATTCCATTCTGTGAGATTTGGTTAAAAATCTTACATTTTTAATCACTTCACTAGCCAAACCTGATGTCAGAATTACCAGAAACAGCAACACTGCCTTACTGCAGTTTTTACTAAAGACTTTTTAACCTACAGCGAGGATGCCAGACAGACTTACTACACTGTTTTTGCAAACAGCAGACACTAACATGCAAGAGTCCTTGAGCTTGTAATGGCTTTGCTATTGATGGGCTTCTGTGTGTTTTTGCCTCGTTAGGCTTCAATTTCCTCATCTAAAATGCATAAGCTACATTATTCCTAAGGTCTGTCCAGCTTTAAAACATTCTATGATTTTAGTAAACATTCTGAGTCATCTTAGAGAGAAGAGCAGGAGAACCCAGGGCTCCAGGCAATGTTGAAAAAGGAGAAGCAACTCTTGTTCATGCCCAAGGGGGAAATAAAAAAGTTTCAGCATTTCAGAATCTCCAACAGGCAGCAAGGTCAGGACAAGTGGGCCTGAGACGATTACAGAGATTACCATAAGATGCCCCATTAAGGAGGGATGAGACCTGAAGGGAATAGGGAAGTACAAGGACAAGTGAATTCTAGAATGGTTTCATACTCAGAATCTTTCTTGGTGTCTTTCAAATCATAATAAGCTTTCCAGGACTGAGAAAGGCATAGGACCTGGTGCATGAAGTTCTCTTTAAAAAGTCATAATTAGAGAAACTTCTAAATATTTTTTCCATCATGTTTAACTGAAAAATTACTTCCTAAAAGTTCCTCTTAAAAATAATTAAAAAAAAAAACCCAAAGCTCTGAGGTCAGCTCAGTTATAAGTATACTCTATGGCTCTGGGTCAGAGGAAAAAGGGTAAAAGAAGGGTTAAAAACACGGAAAAACACCCTTCAGCTTGGGGTCAGAAACTCGGGTCTGAGTCTGGCTCTACCTCTTAGTAGGGGTCTGAGAGTTGGAAATGCACTGCCTGGCACTGAGCCCCGGTTCTTTATCTGCAAAACAGGGAGAAGCAAACCTCCCGTTCACCGAGGTTTTACTGAGGGTGAAAGTGAAGAAGGCATTTAAATATGCTCCATGAACAGCAAAGAGCGCCCACTTTACCAGTTAAGAGGAAACTAAATAGCATAATAGGAACTAAATCTGTAGTCCAGTTTTCGGTCATGCTAATTTGTAACCAACCTTGAATAGAAAAATAGTATTAGCACAAAAAAAACGACTTACAAAAAAGAAAGACAAACAAGAAACAGATAGCAAGTTTTAGTTTTTAAAAACAAGGCTCAGAAAGATACTCACATTCTGCCAAACTTCCCATAAAAGGCACCCCTATTCCATCTTTGGAGTAACTGGGGAGTTGAAGAGGAGAGGATCAGTGTACATTGCAAATGTGAAAAAAGCTGTTTACAGTCAAATCAAGCACAATTTTGGTGGACTAATTAGGATTAATTAGAGGTAATGATGAACACAGTTTAGTGGTTGTGAGTTACCTGGAGAAATGAATGTAATTAGCTAAAGCTGAACCAGCTTGTAACAGCAATGCGGTTGTCAGAACCTTTAAAATCATGTGCATGGGTCCTCCTTTATTAATAGCCTGCCACAGTGACTGAGCATAAATGCAAGCAATCACAAAGTACGCTAGGACTAGGAGGAAAAAGAACTCATGTAACCCTGTGAAGAGAAGAAAGGAGTTTGCTTCAGTAAAACGAGCCAGTTACAGTGTTGGGTTGCTTTCAAATCTCCCTGTCAATATATTTCTAGAACTTGTTTTTTTGTAGCATGACCTCACATTTCCCCTTGGCCCAAGCTTCCAAACGCTTGTTGTGACCAGAGCCCCCTTCGGAAGTAAACTGTCTTAGGCTCTCGTCAGAGAGGAAATCCTACCTGCGGAGGCCATGAGACTCCACTCCCTGGTTACCTTGAACTGCAACACTGACTGATGGCTACCAGTCCAAAGATAGCCATTGGCCAACGAACAGCATGATTTGTTCTCAAAAGTAAGTAAGGCTAATCATATTCTCTTGGGAAATCAAACCACAAAATAGGGAATTAGGCAACAGGAATTGAAGTTAAAAGGGGCCCACACAGGGACAGGCCAAAGAAATCAACCCAAGCCATGATAAAATTCTGAGCACACTGACATTTTGAATGAACAAAAGGAGCTGGTCGGTAAAGACACGACGAAGTAAATGTGCAGATTTCACATTAGAAACCGTGCCAGTCACTGAGCAGCCTAATTCCCACCGGATTTCAGTCGAGTCTTCCTGCATCCTCAAGGTAAGTCCCCCCCATCTTTTTTCTGCATTATCTGGAATACTCTGTCTCCATTTTTCAAAAATTTCAGAAAATGTTTATAATGAGCTAGAAGCCTAACTTTGGGCTTAATGGCTTACATTTATTTGGTTACACCTAAAGCCAGTCTTTAATATTGAGGCTTTTACAGTCTATCTAAATAACACTAGAATACAGTGACAATAGATAGGAATAGAGATGTCTCTACTGAGTCTGTGGATGAACAGCATAAATTGCAATCACTTTCGTTCTAACTGTGAATACTGAACCTACTCCACTTTCTCATTTGTAGTAAACTCCAACCAATAAGCAGAGAAGGGAATATTTCCATTATATGAAAAATAACTTTCAAAAAGCAATCCAGATACTCATTGTAGGAAAAACAGTCAACAAACAGTTCAGTCTCAGTCATGTTTTGGGCATGGGTAGGAGAGAAAAGGGAGAGAGAAGAAGTATTCCAACCACTGGGTGTCTCCCCTGCTCTACTTAAATACATGCTGCCGGTCCACTCTCCAGTCCAGGTGAAAGGCATGTTCAGTCTTCAGGAGGAGAGGATCAAATAACAGAAAAGGCTTTTTTTTTCCTTACAGAATTGCTTACACAGAAGAAGTATTCCAGCTCTAGAAACAATGGGACAAAAAACCTGGGGTTGTTATAGGAATGCAGCAAGACAGAAAATATGCTGATTATAACTCAGTAAAATTCTTCTAGGTTTTTAAAATTCTGGTTTTTATCTTTGTTCTTAGCAGAAAGAATTAAACAGGGCATTCTATTTAAAGTTTCATTTATTTATAATTCTTTGCAGAATATCCATGACAAGGTAAAGTTTTAGACTCTAGTTACAAACCCATCATAAAAAGAAAATCCTTAGATGGTTTACTGAGTAACTGGAATAATATAGGAGAGGACGGGAGATTCTGAGAATAAGACATATGTCACGAGCAAAAAATGTTTTAGGATTACTCAAGATTATTTTTTAGAGAAAGCTAACGTTATAAGCAACAAATTATTTCATTGAGGTAATATACTAAATACATTGAACCAAGTCATTTGTCCTACACTTTGTTCATTGAATTTCTGCATAAATTATTTTTATCACGACTCTGCCTACAAGACACTTTAAAGATAAAAGGTTAGTTCTGCACCCAGTTCTATTTTAAATAATTCACCTCTAGAAAAAAAGGGTATTTTTTTCTCTTCAGCTATCAACTTTACTTTTGTTCTGCCACCATCCTTCCCAAGAAAACACTTTATGTTCACTTTGAAATTAAAATCTAATTTTAAAATAGATGGACACTAGGTATCAAATTTTCCTATACACAAAAGACTACTCGTAAATGAGTGTGCAACAAGTGACAAACACTTATGTTATTAGGAAATGTAGAGATTTTAAGACAAGCTGACGGGGAAGACGCATTGGCAAAATTCAGCAGGAAGAAAACTTACAGGTCAGCTTCAAACAATCCGGCTCCAGATAAACGGCAGGGGCCGAGAGAACAGAGGGCAGGAGAAGGGGAGAGCCACTGGGTCTGGGGCAGCACCTGGGACTCCCTTGCCTACCCACGGTGCTTGCTGTCTCGGAGCCCCACTCCATGCCCCCAGCAGGAGTCTCAGGATGCACCCGAGTCGGCCTAGCTGACCGGAGAAATCCCAGCACCCTCGCCAACACCCTGTTTCCTCTCCAACACCTCGTTACGTTTCCCTCGTGGTGCGTGGAGCAGAGCACGTGACCCAGTTCTGGCCAATGAAATGTGATGACAGAGCCTCCGGGAAAGGTCTCCGGGCTCTATCTCCTGATTTTTGCCATCAATCACCTCTCAGTATCCGAGAAGGACCGGTTCTGGGGCCCACCCCTCCTGCAGAACGGCACACTAAGGCGGTGGGGGCGAACGAGGCGGTCACTGCAGGTGGCCAGAGGCTGGCAGGGGCGCCCACCGGCTCTGCGTCTGCAGGGGGATTCCGCACAGCGCGCCGCAGGGGGCAAATTCCAACTGGGCTTTTGGAACTGCCTGGGACCACTTCTTTGTTATTTTCAATCTGTGATTGATTGAGTACACGGTATGGGGCCCACAGCTACCGTGGGCCGACTGTATCTAGCCCTGATGCCCAGGTGGGCTGCCGTTAACAGGTTAACGGGGAACAGGAGGGAGCGGGCCTCAGGACACAGCTGACGGGCACAGGGTAGCAGGACAGAACGGGGCTGAACAAACCGTCGGGAAGAAGCCCTGGAAGTTCTGGTAGTGTAAGATAATTAATCTCCTTACCATCTACACCATTTGCATTACTTTTTTCTGTTTCCTTTAAGCCAAAAACATTCCAACCTGTTATTAGCAACATGTTACCAGAGCTAAATGGAAGACCTAACCTGTATCTGTTGGGATAATAGAGGGAGAAGGGGCAAGAGAAAAGGATGAACGTATCTGGAACCTTAACATCAGCGAAATGGCAGATGTTGGCAGGACCTGTAATGTTATCCCAGTGAAAACCAGCCTGCTTTAGACAGTAACGATTTCGCCCTCTGAATTTCTGCTCTTTCTTCTTTTGATCTCTAATAACAGCACAGAGTTAACCACAATTCTGCTTTTTAAAATGAAGAAGCAGCTTTATTCTGCCTTAAAGCATGACATCCCTATGTAGTATTTTGTCAAGTGACACCACACTTGCCTTAGTTTTATTTATTTTTTTAAATCTAGACCAATTCTGTAAAGCACAGGATGAACCAAAGTCTGATAGGTATAATGGTTTTAAAGAAAAACAACTTATAAAATTTAACCAAAATAATATGTAACACCAATCACAGATATTTGCACCAGGTTATTCTAATTCCAACCTTTCAAGTATACGGTTTAATAGTCAGTGCTTAATAAAAAGCATAGCAAATCAATTTTCCCTACTTAGGGCAGAGAATGAGACAAATGAGCGAAAGTTTCTAAAATGAACTAATTGGGATTTATTTGCTGAAAACAAACTCCACACCTAAGGCTGCAGAACAGGAGAAATCCCTCCTAAGGCTCCTATTCTATACCAGCACGTTGCCCAGCCGACTGAGTATGGACTTGGAGATTGGTGGGTCTGCGCACGAGAATCGACCTCAGAGCTCTGACCACCTACAAGTTCCTCGCTTCCACCCCAAAACTGCATCTAGGTGGGTCTCTGAGGGATGGACATCTAGTTTTTTTTTTTTAAGCTCTCCAGATGCATGCGCGGTGACGGGTGAAGAACCACTGATTCAGACTTTGATGTAGAATTAATCACATTTTATGGCAATGTAGAAGTAATCGTATTTTAAGGCCTCTGGGCATTTTAATCTATACAACAATGTGACCTTTAAGAATTAAGCCAGTCACATGACAAATATGAATACTGTTGAGTACTCTGGCACTTTTTGATAATCAGGTTAGCCATGCTCAGAATCCCATGCTTAAGGAAAATAAGAACTATAATGAGGTTTTGTCCCTAATTTAACTTTTGTTGATGACATGTCCCATGTAACTTTCCCATCCTAACATTTAAAAAAAAACCCACCAGATTTTAGACACAAGTACAAACATCTAATCAAAGTCAGTCACAGAAGAATATAGATCAGGGGAAATGAGGACTAAGGACTCAATCAGAATGGTTAGTGTGATCCCTAAAGAAAAAGCTAACTGTAAGTCAGGATGTTGGAAAAAATACTAGACAATGCAGGGGAGGTTCAGGATGGGCCAGGGTGAGTATGACTGACATGCGGTGGCTTGTGCATGGTGCAGGGCGCACGTGTGATCACTTCATGGTCTGTGGTCAGTGTTCACAAGTCAAACTGGAAATGCAGAAGGAGACTGGAAATGGGAGTTTGGACAAGGAGGTGAGAAAAAGCGTATTAGTACACAGTAGCATCTCATGGATCCATACAATAAATGAAACGGTCTGTTCAGCTAAAGGCCTACAGCCTGCAAGGCAACAAGGGGAAGAGTGGACTCTATGACACAGGATGGAAGAAAGTGAGGGAAACCCCTGACAAGCGGGGTGAGGAAGTAGAAGCCGACACCCTCCCACCAGAACCCTCCAGGAATGACCAAGGAGAAAACGGTCAGTGGCTGAAACGCCTGTGATTCTGGAAAGCAACAACAAGGCCTCCTCCCAACCAGAAGGCAGGTGGAATCTGCCACCACAAAGCTTGGAAACACACAACATCCCAGGATCTGACTGACCATGCACATAACGCACTTGGACTTGGCCTGTTTCCACTGGGACATGCGCTTTTCACTTCTTTCACAGCGGCGTCCGCACCCTGGCCTTTTTCTCTACCTGAAAAATAAGTGCTTGATTCTCACTCCAACTCATTCTTGAAATCTCTCCTGGGTGAGTTAAGGACCAGGAGTGTCTGACATACGAAAGGCACCCAGACGGTGCAACGGCAGGACCAGCCCTCGGCTCAGAAGCGGCCGGTGACAACTAGAGGCAGCGGGGTCTGGGTGTGCAGTGACTGTTCCAGAGCATGGCTTTCTGCGGGGCCTACACCAGCCCTAAAAATAAGTATCAGGTGAAGTAATGCAGCCTTCTCATGGGAAGGGACCTTAGAAACAACTTAGTCCACCCTTCTACTCAACGCCATCAGGAGACGTGGGTTTCATTGATGCCTTTGCAAACTGTGAAAAACGCCAACATCTTTTAGCAAGATAAAAGAAGTGGTAGCACTGCCTTAACTTCCAATAACCATCTACAATTGTTAGCTAGATATCAATAAAGGAAGGTAGCTAGATATCAATAAAGGAAGGGGGCAAAGGGAATAAACCATCAAGCCTAATAAACCAGGGAGCTGAATCAGACAATAAGCCTGCTTCATCAGGAAGCTGTAGCTTTGCACATGGCTCAGGGGACTGCTGTGTCCTCCGCCCTTGGGACCTAAGGCCAGAAGTGGGCAGGAAGGATCGTTACCAGTCACTAGCCAGGGTTACTAAGATAAAGATACAACAGGAGGAGAAATTCCTCTGCTGGCCAAGATGGTGCAGGCAGAGGTCCTTCCACTTTGAGGCATGCACAATAGGAACTAAGATAATGTCCATAAGGGGCAGAGCCTAGCCTGGGGAAAGGGCTGGATGGAATTGGATAAGGAACACAGAACCCCAGAAGATCTATAAAATGGACTGGTAACCGAAGGACCCATCAGAAGCCTGAGTAAGATTGGGAAGTTGACCAGTTAGTTGGAAAGGGTGCCTGGTCCTTCTCACGTTCTAGGTAATATAATCAGCCTAACACAGACAACCCCTCTCTCACTTTACATGTGCTTGCCGGTTCACTCGCACGTCCTCTCTCCACAGCAGCCATATGGCTGCACAGACTCCAAGTGCAGGCCTGGGCCAGTGCCAGCCAAAACACACCCGGGGAAGAGACTAAGCTAGCCGGACAAGGACAGAGGCTAAACTGGACTCAGCTTCAGCATGGCCTAGCATTCCTGGACACTGGCCTTCGTTCTGGGCCTGATAAAGACAAAGCTGGACTTCTTCCAAAGCTGGTCTGTCTGTCGATGAGACAGATAGGGAGGAGACCCCAGGAATCTGGGGCATCCTTCCACTTCAACCCCAGTAAATCTCACCACAACACCTCCTTAACCCCATTTCCACCAGCAACACAATGATCCAAACTACAGCAGTAGGACTAACAACTTCCCGCAACAATCTACAATGATCTAAATCACCATTAAGTGAAATTTAACCTCTAAGTTCCTTTGCATTCAAAAACAACTTGAGTAGCTTCCTCTTATGTCATTTCCTTTACACACAGAGAAACTTTTGAGAATTAACTATTTTAAAACATTTAGCATCTCATTCTGTCACTAAATAATGTTTTTTCATACCAAAGGATATTTTTTGAGAAGTTGATCTCTTGATACATTAAGCTATTTGTGACCTGTTGTCTATAACACATGCTCCTTGAATTGTTTTCCTATCGCTGGCAATTTATACTTTGAACTAAACAATCAGTTTTGTTTGGTGTAGTCCCAACTCCTGCCCAGCCTCCACTCATCCACCTTGACCAGGAATGAAATGTAACGGGACTGAGTTTTTCTCTAGGCGGAGACTGACTCTTCCAAATGGGTAACGGACTCATGAATCCCCTTTCTTTGACAGATGTCCTATAGATCTCCGTTTTTACTCTGCTGTGCTAATTTACAAATCTGTTGGGATACTTTATGGCATGTCTATCACGCATCACAAGAAGTCACGCATTTCTGTCTGGACTAGGTAGCTCCCGTCAGTAGTACCGTGCACAGTCAATGAGACAGGTAATGGGCGTAAACCTGACTTGGGAAAGCATTTCGAACTTTGGTCTCTCCTAAAACAGTGGCAAGCTCGAATAAAGACAATCCTTAAATCTGCCCAAATGACTCACTAAAAGGATAGTCAGGCAAGGCAGCACAGTTGCTAATCTTGACCATGGAGTTTCCGATTTAAATTCCTCAAATTATTAATATTTTTCTGTTTATGTAAATGCTAGCTTACCATTTTAAAAAGATTTAGAATATACAGAAGAAAATCAAACTATCCAAATTTCCACCACCCAACACATGAAATAATCTGTTAATATTCTTGTACTTCTGATTATTCTCTATATTTTTAAACTATTTCAAATCATACAATATAAAATTTAGCGTTTTGCTATTTTAACTTAATAGTACAGCTATTAAAATGCTATAGGAAGATTCATTTTACCATTTCCCTACTATTGTACGTTATTTTAATTTTTAATATTTTAAAAACATAACATGAAATAATTTGTGCATGCATCTTTTTCTGTATTAAGTGCATGTATTTAAATGTCCATTCTTACCAGATTCTCCGGCACTAAAATGATCAAGTGGATTCCCGTCAGCATCGGGGTTTAGAAACACCATCTCAAATGGTATGTCTTCCACCTGAGAATCCTCCTTGTCATCTTTGCATGTGTACTTGTCTGCATAAAACACATGCCATGTTTGTGGATACGGAACCTGGGACACGGTCAGATTATGTTCAGTCTGATTCACGGTCACTTGAAAGAGAAAGAAGATAGTACTTTCAAAGCACAAGCCTCAAACATATTCATTGTGTTAGTCATACAATCAATCTGAGATTCAAATTCTCTTGTTTAATTCTTATAGCCTTCAATATTCAAACCCTATTGTAGTATTGGCATATGGTCTATAAATCATAAAGCAGAGAAAAATAACATAACTTAACCAAAGGAATCACTGTAAGAGTACTATGAACCACCACAAATGAGTAGAATGATTTCACTGAAACTCTGAATTTTAGCTTCAAATGTTTTCAAATTTTTCGAGTGGGTTAGTGACACTCAAAAATTGTTTAATAAAATTTACTGGAGTCACATTGTTTAACAAGATCATACATGTTTCAAATGTACATTTCTATGACACATACTCTACACACTGCATTGTGGTAAAACAGACAAAACACAAAAGTTGGCATTTTAATGATTTTTGGGGTACGGTTCTGGGGCATCAAGTACCTTCCCAATGCTATGCAATCATCACAGTGACATATTTGAAAACTACTGAGTTAAATTTATTTATTTATTTATTTTGAGAGAGAAGGAAACGGAGAAAAACAGGGACACATCAATGAAAGTTCAATTTAAAATGGAGCACTCAACTCAGAAAACCGTATCTAATAGCTATGACTCCCAAATACCTTCAAAAGAGTACCCCGAATGCTCCTCTAACGGGTAATTCTTTCAGAAGGCACTCCAAGCAGACACACAGAAATGATAAGAATGTAGGAGCTGTCACACTGGGTCGGGTCTACACAGTGGTGGGACGAGGGGACTCCTGGATGTTGGCGTCACAGCCAGTGGCGCTTGAACCCTGGCTCCAACACTCACCTTCTGGGTGACCTTGGGCAAATGACATGAGCAATGGCACTCACTTTCTTCATCTGCAGAACGAAGATAACACTAAGAGCAAAGAGCTGATGCAGGGACTAAGTTACGTGAGCCACTCTGTATGGTATCTGTAGTACAGTAGTTGCTGAATGAAGGTTAAGCCTCCTTTTCCTTTCTTTATAAAGGGTGGTTTTTTAAAAAGGTGGTCATGCTAGTAAGTGGTTCCCAATCCAGGGTAACCCTGTCCTCTTCCAGGACATCTGGAAATGTGCAGGGACAGTTGGGAAGACACTTGGAGGGGGCTGTGCTAGACCTCATGAAATCCAAGGTGAAGTCTCACAAAAAGGAGCTGTTCCTCCCCAAATGCCAACAGTACCCCCTTTGAGAAACGCTAAATGGTGTGTAAGATCCCTTTTCCATTTAAACTCACCATTCTGACCCAAGAGGCACTCGCTAACACGTTCACAAAGGTATAGGAGAGTGGGGTCTCTGACTCGATGTGTGAGAAAGAGTGGAAGAGTTAGAAGAGGAAGTCTTAGTCCCACTACTCACCAACATTATGACTTAGCAAATAAACTTACTTAATCTCTCCAAATTCGTTTTCAGTAGTAAGACTGAGATACCTGCCCTGGCTAGTTCAGATTCTTATAAGGAACAAATGCGACAGTGTATGAAAATCCAAGGTAGAGTCCGATTTTGAACAGTGCCAACTATTCTTAACATGTAAGTTATGATGGCCCGAGTCTCAACTCCAGACTACCTGCATAGCCTGCCAACCAGTCTCCATCTTCCTCTCGACTGAAGAAAAAAACTTTTTAATAAATCAAAGACAGGTCTTGAAATAACTGTGGAGATTTGCATATGTGAGATTTTAGAGGACATTAAGCAATGGTTTACTTTCTTAGGTGTAAGAAAGTGGTTATGGAGAATGTGCTTACTGTTACTGCAGTTAGACTGAAATAGGGTGGGTCGAACTGCTCCTGACACCCAGAGCTTCTTCCCTCCCTCCCACCCACCCGTCTTCCCAGTCTATTTAATCCTCGCTGGAGGACATTCCTTCACTGCTTCTTAGAGAAGGCAGAGAGAAAGACTGCTGCGAGAGAGAAGCATCAGTTGTCTACCCTGCATGCCGGACCAGGGATGGAACCCGTAACCTAGGCGTGTGCCCTGACCAGTAATCAAACCCGCAGCCCTTTGGTCACAGGACGACGCTCCAACCAGCTGAGTCCCACCAGCCAGGGCCCACCACTTATCTTCATATGGCTTGATTAAAAACAAGTATCACAAATACAAAGCACATCTAACAAAACATTAACAATTAATGAATATAAGCCAAGGATATACACACAGATGTTGGGGGTAATACACTTTCAACTTTTCTGTATGATTAAAATTTTCCCTAATAAAAATGTTGGAAAAATGTTATTTGTAGGTCGTCTTTATAAATGAGATACTGATATATCTAGTCCGGATTCAAATTTTGAGGACTTGGACTTAGGTTTGGGAATGTCATTAATAGCAGTGAAACTGGATAAGATGCTTTTATCAATAATACCACAGCACTGTTACTTTGGTTATCTTAATTTAGCTGACATTTATAGTGTGTTTTTTTTTTAACCGTACAGCTGCTGGAAAAATGTAACACATACTGTAATCTCTGTTAAATATTTGAAGAGCTTTTTTTTTTTTTTTTACTTTTTCTTTAAAGATTTTATTTATTTATCTTTAGAGGGGAAGGAGAGAGGGAGAGAAACATCAATGTATGGTTGCCTCTAGTGCTTCCCCTGCTGGGAACTGGCCTGCAACCCAGGCATGTGCCCTGACTGGGAATCGAACCTTGATCCTCTGGTTTGCAGGCCTGCGCTCAATCCACTGAGCTACACCAGCCAGGGCCTGAAGAGCTTTAATAACAATTCAACATATAATCATTACATGGCTCAGAAATAAGGTTTTTGAAAGGTACAGCTTGCAATTACATAATTTGGACTTCATTATATAAAGGCTCTGCTATGTTGCTATTCTATCACTTGCATTTTTTATCACTTGCATAAAACAATATAAAAATTAACCACTATATTTTCACCAATACGCTTTTTAATGTCTCATTTTAAATTATGCAGATTTACATCAAATTAAAGCAGGAGAGTGCTTCATAAAGTGGAACTGCCCCCACTTTCTGTTTTGCTGCCTTTTCTAGCAAGCCCGGAAAGCAAGCCTCTAGACAAAACTGGGTACTCATTGTTTTCAAGACAAAAGACTCCAGCACAGCACGCCTATTCTACGCTGATGTAATTAGTACCTCAAATATGAGCAAAACCTGAATTCCAGAGAATGATGTTACACGGCTAACTGCTCAATCATATGGTAAAAGGAAATGAATACAGTGAACAAGAATACACAGGATAATAATATACCAACACCTTTAAAGGACTCATAAACATGCCAAATGTACAAAAGGAAATACACACACATGATGTACAGAGACATTACTAAATGTTTTATATACGAAATCGTATTTAGGTCTTCTACTCTGACAGCAAATTACTCTTAATCTCCTTGTTAAATTTCTTTACGCGACACTTATTTTTAGTGTTTTAAATGTTTTGTTTGCTTGCTTTTAAAAAACCTACAAAATATGTTATTATTTTTAAAGCTGATGTTTTATGACATTACTTAAAGAGAACAAAGGAAGACTGAAAAATAATTTCTTAAACATTAATTTGGGAGAATGTATACTTATAAGCCACATGTGATATACCAGGGTGTTTTTCAAAACTGCTGGTCTTTTTTCCTAGTTCAGAGCAGCAGTAAGGTTTTATATAGGCACAGTTAATTACCAGGTAGGTGAAAGGCTATTAATTTCTGAAGTCCTATTAAATGGCCAGGAAGTGAGAATTATTTCTATAAGAAGTTAATTTAAAATGTGGTACTACTACACTGTTGTGAATTTAAAAACATGCTTTGTGTTTCAGTGTGTCAGGCCCTAAAGAATAACATACTATAAATATGACAACTAATATAAAAGAGAATATAGACTTTCTTAAGACTTGGCATTTGTTATTAGAAAAAGAATTGATGAAATATGTAGAAAGTGATTTATGTCTCACTTAATATATTTCAGTCCCCCAAATTTAACAAAACGAGCCTCAAAAATTCCTGTTTCCTGAGATCTTCTGTTGTAGTAATTCCACAGAACACCCTCTCGCTAGAGGGAGTGGGCGAGAGAAAGGGAAAAACATAAAGAGAATCAACAGCAAGAGGTTTTATAAAGTTACAGCCAATGTATATGCAACTCCACCCTACAGAGTTAGCATTAGAATCACGGCATTTTAGGACTTTCAGAAACCTGAGAGGAGACGAGTCCAGCTTCCTTGGTGCACAGACAAGTAAAGTGTGGCTCAAAGAGAAGATTTTGTAGGTCAGGAGCCCTGACTATCAGCCCGGCAGTCTTTCCATTGCCCCATCCTGCCCCCTCATATACCTAAGTTCTGTGACAGGAGGCATTTGATGACTGATATAAAAGCTATGATTTTTCAGGTGTATGTAGTACATGGTATATAATACTGACCACGTGATACAAGAAAATAAATCCATTCCTATAGCTCAAAGCTTTAAACTACCCGATAAATTTTGTAAATGAAAAATAAAAGAAAGAAAAAGACTTTGGGGTGTCAAATAAAAAGCAAACAACCTACCGATGAAAACCCCGAAAGCACTAAGCTCTCTGATAATTCATCCTACAAATGCTTAGTAAATGCTTAACTCAGCACTAGAGGATCCTAAATTCTCATCCTCACAACACCATGTAACCAACATGTACAGTACTTATCACAGCTGCGATTTTGCACTACACTGATGTATTTCATTCCCGTTACACCCACTAGCCTTAAGGACTGAGACGGGGTCAGTATTTTGTTCTGCGATTTACCACTTATGTAGCATAATCCATGATACAACAGAAGAGCTCATGAATGAATGAATGAATAGACCAAAAGAGCCTTGGTGCTTTTACTGATTGATTTGGTAACAGGTAAATAAAATGCAAAGTGGTAACTATAATAAGTGCTGTGGAGGACCACAAGAGGCTATAAAAACTCTGGTGTTAACTTAGAGGAGTGAGAAGTCAAAGAGGGAAGGAAGAACAAGCAGAAGAAAAGCCTGTGCAAAGGCCCAGGAGAGCACTCAAACAAAACAAGCGCTACCGAGAAAGAGAGGCAGGAAGGGAACAGTGTTGTGGGGGGAGCTGGGAGACGGCAGGTAAGCAGGGCCCAGGCTCTGTTGGCTTTGCTGGTCCGGCTAAGGGGGTCTGTCTTTGACCTAGGAGCAGCAGGAGACCACTGAAATGCCAAAGGGTGTGGTGAGGAAGTGGATATGGGCCTGATGAAATCTGCTGTTCAGGAAGATTCCTCTGATGGCAGACAGGGATGAGCACGGCCCAGGTGGCCAGGTCGGACGCTACTGCAGCAGCAGTACAGGCAGGAGATTACGGCGACCTGGAATAACCCAGTGGGGGCGGAGAGGAAGCAGTCAGATGAATTCAGGAGCTATTTAGACGCAGCTTACAGGTAGGCTAGAAGGGGGAAGAAAGGTCAAAGGGTGGAGTGTCCGCAGACTCCCTGGTTTCCAGCTTGTTTCCTAGATGGGTGGTGGTGCCAGTCCCTAAAACCGTGAACACTGAGGAGGGTTTGGACGGGCAACAAGTTCTTGCCCGTCTGTGGGACACTCAGATGGACACATTGGTGCATAAAGGGAAAGGCAACGGATAATGAGCACTTGCGTGAACTTCTCAGGTAGGTTCTGAAATTCAGGCAGGAGGTACAAACCTTCGTGTAACTGACTCTTTGGTATTTGAATCCTTAAGTCATTCAGACTTCTTCAGCATACTGTCAAAGTCATCTCACACATATAAATAAGATATCCTCACAGTGGGCGGCAAGGACTGGGGACTTGTAGCCCTATTCTGGCTCACTGCCTCATCAGGGAATCAGGGAGCTGCAAAGACTAGGAAGAATGGATGTTTAGAAACGGCAGTGTTTTCCTTGACTAGATTACAAGAGGATTCAGAGACTCATCAGTAGGCAGAACGTGATGGAGAAAACGTAGAGGCGAAAAGGGAAGAGGGACAATTTCCGTTTTTTCTCATGGGTGCTTCATCTTCCTAATGTCCCCTTCAAACAAGTGACTTCCCCAAGGCAAGATGGGCAGCGTGGCAGACACTCTTCATTTCTATACTAAAAAGATCTGCACGCACTCTGGACAGCTAACACCCTAATGCACGGGATGGTGTTGATGAAAAGGGAAGAGCTCAAGGATCCAGGCAACTAGGATAGAAAAGCAGGGCTCTCTAGAGGCAAACCTAAAGGTTTACCAACAATGGGGGGTGCTGGTCCATCCGAAAATGACTTACTCTGTCACCATGACTAGGTCCTACGTTCAAATAACATGTTGCAAACAGCATCACTTGGGCTAAATTATACAATTAACTGAGATACTACATGTTTAGTGCTTAGCTCAGGGCTAACATATAATAAGCATTCAACAAATGTTATCATTCATTCCACGCTGCCCCTGGGTCAAAATCTATCCGCCATATTGGTATGAATTATGTGACCTGTAGGAGGTCTGACTGAAAGAAAGTATCCCCTTATAAATTACATGTACATATTTTCAAAAAGTTTGAATGACAAAGGGGGATAAGGTATTCCATCTTTGATCCTGGGAAAGATCGGTTTCCTTAAACTTCAGTTTAAAATGTACTAGACAAAGAGTCACCCCAGCGTGAGATGTCCGGTGTCATGAAAACACCCTGGTACGCAAACACTGCTATTAGCAGCAAGGAGGAAAAACACACACGCAATTATATAACAAAGGCTATACTCACTTGTCAAGTGAGCTTTGGACAATTTTTCGCTACAACTGTCACCTCGACTGTTTTCCTGCAGCTTCAGCCATTCCTGGGCTGGGAACAGGTAGAGTTTCGCTTCTTTTCCAACAGCTACGGCTACGCTGTTGATTCTGACACAGAGAAGAGCATGGTCACCTGGACAGGAAAACACAAATTATCCACCCGTTTGGTCTCACACAAAAGGGAGATGGCAGGACAATTCAACACCTTCACTTACCAAAGTGGAAATTTTAAAAAATCACAATTTTTCTTAAATCTCACTTAACTAGGTAGATCGCATTAGAACGGACACCCCATTCAGATGCAAGACAAGAGATGACGCACATTAACTGTCCAAAGCGGTGTGTGCGGTGTCTCCTTATACTTCAGCTCACAGATGCCAGTGCACTGACTAAACAGTGACATCTGCTGCGTGTGGACCTTTCATTAATTTTTGCCTCATTTTACAACCACTCCGCATGTCTTTAACATCTGTCCATAAACTATCTACAGAAATTTCCTAAGCTTTTTAATATAACATGGCTGTTAATGTTGAATTATACTTTTAATGTAAATAATAAGCATAGCTAATAGCAAAAAAGAGTTTGGGGATAGACATTTTATACCCAACACAAAATTTGACATGGGATTTTTTACAGTAAAACTTTCAGAGTCTGTTGCAAAACTAGTGTCCAATGAGCCTGGTTGCACACACCAAATACATTTAAGGCCCAGAAATAAATGGCAAAAAAAAAATAGGCGCCTCTGTGGAAACGCACTCTGGGTGAGGAGTAAAGCAGGAGACTGTTTCATTTTTTGTTTTCAAATGTTCTTTTGTTTTTATCTTCGTTAATATAATTGTCATTTTGGCTAAACATTTCAAATAAATTTAAATATATAGTATGTATCAAAGAGAGTATAACTATCCTATATAAATTGGTTACATTATAAAGTATCGGAAGTTAACAATGACGTTAAGGCCCTGTTAATATCTTAAGCTGCATTCTGAATTAGAGTTCATTATTTCAGTATAGCTGTGGTATTATCATTTTACTGGACACAAATTATGACCCTTCCGGGACACACATGCATTTCCCTCAAGTTAATTCTGGGCCTCGTGATCCACAATTAATCTACTCCTTTGGTGGCAGAGTAACTAAACTGTTGAAACTACAGTGACAACTGGGTTATCAAGTGTTGTTATTTGTTTTCAAAAATCTCTTTATTGCAGGTAGTTTTTATCCAATTAACTTTAATAGCAACGGACCCAAGAAATCTATGTTCTGGGGCTTAAGATGACACGTAATTGCAGTCCCTTAGTGTACCTAATCGGGTTGAAACAGAAGTGAGCAACTGATGCTTCTGGGAAGGAAGGATCTCGAAAAATGCAGCAGGCGTGTCATCTGTACAACATTTGTATGTTAAGGCTGGAGAAACGATCTTTTAGGTGCAGAACACAATCACCAAGTGGGGAAGGGGTGCTGATGACGAGGATGTAGGGGGCTGCGACAGTGGGCTGCGCAACACACGCATCTCACGATGCCGCTGAGCTGCGGAGAGAGGGCGGCGCTGGAAGTCCAGGTGACACACCCGGCCCGGCGGCCCGGCTCCAGGTCTCCCCACGCGAGGCTGGGGGCGCGGCCCGCGGCATGTGTCCACTCGCCTTCATCCCTCTCCCCGCCCCCGCACCTACCGTGGAACCCGAAGTGGCCGATGCGCTGGCCCTGCGTGTCTCGGGCCGCGGCGCTGCTGAAGCTGCCCCGCAGCGTCTTACCCTCGCTGCCCGACGGCCACCAGCAGCAAGTGAGGGCCACTGCCAGCAGCCGCAGCAACCCCATCCCTGCCTGCCGCTCCGCACCCGCACCGCTGCCGCCAACCACTCGCGGCTACGGGTCCCACGTCGGCAGCCGGGGAAGGGGAAAGAGGGAGCACGACCGCACCGCGGACCCGCCCAGGAGTTGGACAGCCAATGACGAGGGCGTCTCCGCCACGAGCCCAGAACATCCACCAATCAGAGGAAGAAATGGGCGGGACGTGCGGAGGCCAGCGCCCCATCACTTCTCCGCCTTTTGGCTAGTTCCCGCCTTTTTCTACGGAGAATTAGGAGGATGTTGCTTCAGGTTACGGAAAAATTATTGCCGTCGCGGTCCACTGCGCATGCGTGGGAGTGCCTGCTGGGGCTCTCCACTTTCCAGAAGCCTGTGGGTTTCGGAAAGAACTAATAAACCCTCGGCAGCACCATTTCTCGTGAAGAGAGGAAAACGGTCGAAAAGCACTAGGTGCCGATGTAGCCTATTGGACATTTCCACTTTAACGTCTCAAAGATAGTTAACTGGATTTGTCCAATCGGTTTTTTTCCTCCTAGGTTCTGTGTTTTCTTGAATTACGTTATCACCCACCGGGCCAGACAGCTGAGAGTTACCTCGATGCCCCCAGCTCTTACAGGCGGCAACCCGTTTGCTCAATTCAACAGATGTTTATTAACGCCTCTCCTGGGCGCTGATGGTAGGAAGCAGCAGCCACTGTCCTCTCCAGGTCGCAATAACATATAATCTTACTTGGCCTTTGGCAACTGACCTGCCTCCAGTGTTCATGTTCCCCAGTTGGCTATACACAGCCCATCCCTAGAGACACAGAAAGTTTTGGAAAGTGCAGTTTGACTGCATTACTTTCCTATAAAAGTTCTCGATTGCTTTTAGTACACAACACACTCTTGAGTTACGGTTTGGGAGCCTCTCAAATGTCCATCTTTCGACTTTTTTTTTTTTTTTTTTTTTTTTAGCGAGCCACTGCTTGTCAGCTGAACACTCCAAGTTCTCGCTTCTGGGCTTATAGCCCTGGCAGATCCCTCTGGCTGGAATGCTTGTCTTACCCTATTACTCAATCTCCAGGCCACCTTCCTGTCTCTACTTTACTCTTCTTTCTCAAGGCTCTTTTAGAGCCCTTTCTCAAACCACCAAGCATGTGCTAGATGCCCCGGGAAAAGGCCCCTACTTCCCTACCCTTACAGGCACTTACCCACAAAGGTATTTTAAATGTTTATTGGTTTATGTGAATCCCTGACTATACTGTAAACTCCAACTGGTCAGAGACTATGTCTCCATAAGAGTAGATGCTTAAAATTATTTAATGAATAAGTGTATACAAATTATTTTCATTAGACAACCAGTTTTATTACATAGAAGCAAATTCATCTTTTAGAAAAAAGAAAGCTTAAGGGAATACTTCTTATCATATAGCTAGCATTTTCTGTATCTCTGGTAGACCAGGAATAAATGGAAGGTATTAATATTATGAGACTTTAAAAAACTACATTATATTTTAATTATAAAAGTAATTCATGTAGCTTAGAAAAGAACCATCGTCAAAATTATACGAAATAAAAATGCAAGTCCTCATTCTCTCCTTTCCTTGCCTATACCTGATACCCAAAGGTAACCCTTGTTAATAGTTTAGATGGGTCCTTTCAGTCACGTGTTTGCAAATATATGTGGTATTTGCAAGCCAAGAAAAGGAATAAAATTGGTCCAGAAAAAAATCAGAATATGGGCCTTGAACACTGTGGGGCCTCTTTTACTGTCTCTTGTCTTTCTTTGTTATGAAGTCTGTTTTTCCCTCTCACAGAAAACAGGCTTTTTTGATTCCTCAGTTTATTTGAATGAACGTGGCCACCAGCAAGTCCAAAATGTGTGGGTCCTCAGAGTTCAAGAAGAGCAACCAGACTATCCTAGAATGTGAGTCCAATTCCAGATCCTAGGAAGAGGCTTCAATTGGTGGAGGGTGAGTCACACGCCCATCCTGGGGCCTGCCTGGAGCGGGACAAGTTGGGAAGATGAAAAAGGGTGGGGGGGTCTGGTCATATAAAACCTTAAGTACCCACTACAATGAATTTGGTCCCCATTCTATGGTGGTACATTTTTTAAAAGGCTATATATCACTCCTTGTATTTAAAAACTGTGACAGTATTAGTAGACATTTATACGGTGTCATTTTTCATCACTACAAGCAATTCGGCAATCAACATACCTGTGTTTTCTGCAATTACCTACATTATATATCATAGATCTTGGGGATTATAGGATACGTACATTTGAATTCTGAATATTTATTACTAATTTGCACACCAAAAGTTACCAATGACTCTTCTATATATCTGGGTATTCCCATTCGTTTTAGGCACTGCTAACACATTATTTAGAAGAACCACAAGATTTTTACTCACCTATTTAATATTTACTGATGGTTTACTCTGCGCCAGGCTTGGTCCTAGGACTTTGGGATTATATCAGGAAACAAAGCCTCTGCCCTCATGAAGCAGGGACAATAGGTAATTCAACATAAATGTTGATAACTGTTGTGGAGAAACAGTTATTTTTCTCCTAACTGCTGTTCGGCAGGGCTGGAGTAGCGTTTGCTATTTTAATTTGGGTGGTCACGGAAGGACTCTCTAATAGGTGACATTCCAGCTGAGAACTGAAGTAAGGGTAAATACTAGGCAGACATCTGGGGAAACAGCAGCCAGGCTTACAGGAAATAGCATGAGAGGCGAATTCAGGGAAAAGCAAGTAGAGGCTAGGGCACAGTAGGACAAAAATGTGAGGGTAGGATCTAAAGAACATCTGTAATAATAATAGTAACAACAACAGAGAAATTTGGTCATTTGGCTAATCCAACCTCCCATCTCTATACTTTTGCAAGAGAACTCCTTGGGCGTTCTCAACACAACTGGTCCATGACTGTGGAGATCGCTGTAGTAAAAGAAGGTAATCATTCATAACTCCGACTATCTGTGCATCTAAGTAAAGCCTAATTCATGCTGATGACACGCTCCTGGACAACGTGCCAAAGCCCACTTTTCCAGACACCCCCAATTGCCCCGAGCGAGACTCGGGAGAGCGCAGCACGGCTGCGCCTGCGCACTGGCGCTGCGGAAGGTTCGGCCCAGCCCTCCAATGGGCGGGGATAGATCAGCGACGCTCCGGAAGACGCCCCGGCCGGCTCTAGTAAACGTGTCCGGGAGACAGCGACCGTCGTAAAAGGTCGCGGTGGACTCTCCCTACGGTACAGAGACTTGTGGCTTTATGGTGCCAAGCGGTGCTTAGGCGGGAGATGTCGGCTGCGGGTGGGGTGGATCCCCCGGGTCCTCCCAGCAGCTTTGCGAAGCGGGTCCTGGTGACCGGGGGTGCTGGTTTCATGTAGGTAACGGCGTCGCTAGCCGAGTAGTGGCTCCCCAGAAACCCCAACCTTTTCTTGCGGCTCTGCTCGCTCTAGGCAACTTAGGACCAGCTTTGGGTGCCTGATAAGGGGAGGGTCTTAATGCACGACAAGACGTTTATTTATTCAGCTGAGTTAAAAATACTCTCTTGGTACTAAACGTTTTGTGCCCCTTTCCCTCTTCCACCCGCAGTCAGCAAGTCCTCTCTTCTTGCTTCCAAAGTATATTCTCACGGCCGTTCCTCACCTCCCTTCCCCTTCTACCCTGGCCCACGTTATTGGGTGGGTGGTTGGTTTTGCCTAGACCACTACTGTAGCCTCCTGATTGGCCATAGTGCTTCTGTTCCTTCCAAGTCAGTGTTTATTAAGTGAAAGTGCATCAATCAGACTTAGACTAAAATCGAGACTCTTTCCCATGCCCTGAAAGGGCATGCCCTCAAGTGCCCAGGCACTTATTTTCCAATCTGCTTTCCTGCCAGTCTACCCCTTTCTTTTCTGTGCCTGCCACACTGATGACCCCTTGCTGTCCCAGGAGCATACAAAGTTCCTTCCTCCTTTCTTGCCTTCACACTTGCTTCCCCTTTTGCATCCTTCAATTCAGACATCACCAAATCAGAGAGGCCTTCCCTTACCACCCTATCTAAAATACCCCTCTCCCTGCTAACACACTTATTACTACCTGAAATTGTACTATGTATCATGTTTACTTATTTATTGCTTGCACCCCACTTAAGGTGGTAAACTGAATGAGGGCAGAAACTATTGTTCTTTCAGCACCAAGAAGTGTGTCTGGCTCATTTTATAAAGGTCTTCAGTAATTGTTGAATGGCTGAATGCATTTGTATGAACAAGAAGTTCTTCCAATGTCTAGTGGAAGAAGAGGAACATGGGAGTCCTCTCTCCCACCACCCTACCCACTCCCAGCCCATTAGCACATTAAATCTCTTCTGATCTGACAGTGACTTGGAGGAGGGTATCAGGCTGGCAAGGTTGACTTAATGGCAGCAAGAGCATGGACATAAAAGGGTGATACAGGGGTGATAGTGCTGGTCCAGGAAGGGTACTTTTAGAAAACACTGTGGAAGAGCTATCAGGTACAAACTCGAGTTTGTAATTTGTCCAGGGGCTGCTCTTGATCCTGCGCTTGTTGGGTGTATATAGTAAAATCTGGTGGATCATGTCACTGAGCCGTGCCTGTCATTCCACTTTAGGGTCCTCTGAAACCCAAACCTAGGAGTCACTGTGGATATCCAACTCAGGGCGGTATCAGCTGTTAGCCTTGAAAACCAGGTTTAGTCTAAGACCTGCGCTCTGCCCTGCACCTGACTTATGTCATCAAATTCTTGTATGAAAAGCTAGCAATTGCAGTGCGATTACTATGGACACAGACATCTCCTATACCTATACTAGCTTAATTTTTACATAGTTATACCTACAGTCTGAAAAGGCATGTTATAGCCGTTTGCACTAACCACCAACCACTGTATTTATCATCCTGCTTTGCTCCCATATTCAAAGCATGCATGGACAGATCATTTCGTTAAACTAGTTTTTTCTTGTACCCAGGAGCAGTAAATTCACTCTTCTCTATAGTGTAAAGGGAATATAAGGCTTTGTATATTAATACTGAGGACCATGTTAGTGAAAAGGGTAGGTGTGTGTCTATTCAGTGTAGTTAAATTTCTTGCAAAGATGTAAAGGTATCTTTGAATAGTTTCATAATACTTGATGGCTTAGGGTAACAGTTAAGAATTTATGGAAATCATTAAGTTTTCTACTAACAAGATACACTTTTTTCTTACAGCGCATCGCATGTGATTGTCTCTTTAGTAGAAGATTATCCAAATTATATGATCATAAATCTAGACAAGGTGAGTTTTATAAAAATGAGCTTCATGCACTGAAAGTTACATTTTTAAAAGTACTAGATATACTCTGGTTTCTCTTCAGATCGTATAAATCTTTCGCCTTTTAAAAGTACTAGATAATTTTGAGAACTTTTCTGTAACAATTGGAGTCTCCCTAGAGAGTCTGAAAGCTTTGATTGGTAGTCAGTGAATTTTTTACTTTAAACACAGGATGCAGTCAGTCACCTTCATTTCATAAAATGTAATAGGAAAAATGTATAGTCAAAGGATAATCCATGTCTTGGGAATTTTTACCTGCCTTAGCATGATGGACTGTAGTTTTTTTTCCCCCGTCTCCACTGACCTACCAGCAGTTACTCAGGAAAAAGTGTAATGAGTCCTAATGTAGGACACAGAGGTAATTGTCTTCAAGCACTGGTTCTTCCAGTGAGGAATGGTCAAGTTTTCTAGCCCCTGGGGGCCGGAGGCAGATGTGGGCAGAAAAACTTTTTAAAGGAGAGGTTTCTAACAAGTAACTTTTTTTTTGTTTTGAAACCTTAACAAGTTATATTTTTTGTTTGTTTTTTACTTTAATATATTAGAAACATCTAAAAATCCAAAGTGCAAACACCTTCAGAAGACATGTTCTTGTACTATAATCAGAACATCTTTATAATAAATTGATATTTTCTAGGAAAAGCTATCACCTCTTTTTGTGTTGTTTCTCCACTCTCCCTTCCCCTTCAATATTTTAAGCTGGATTACTGTGCAAGCTTGAAGAATCTTGAAACCATTTCTAACAAACAAAACTACAAATTTGTACAGGTATGATAGTTTCTTGTATAATTATTATACTGAGCCTTTAGTCATTCAGATATTGTGTCCTCCTTACAAACTTGTGTGACGGGCTTGGAAAGCACGCTAATTAAAGACCTGTCAGCTTCCAGAGCACCACCTGCTCTAGAGCTACACCACATACAAAGTTCCGTGTGATTTTTGGTGTCTCACCAGATCTGTGAGTAGCCGATTGAACTTACATGGTTTGGGATTCTTTTAGGTCCTCACTATCCTTCTGAATAAGGCCTTGCTGGGATTTAAAAAGACTGGTGTAAGGTGGGGGGTGACTTAGGCCAGGCAACAGCAAAAAAGCCCCCCATACAGCCTGTAGCATAGTCTTTTCCCATAAGAGTTGATTCATTGCTTCTGGAAGACTGGTTCTTACCAGCCACTCCCAAAAGAATCCAAAGTATAAGACCAGAGAGCCAGGTCATTCATTTGCAGAGGGGAGTTTTAATGGCAAGTGCAACTATTTATCCTATGCTTTATTTTTACTTATATTTTATAGTGATTCATTTAATCACAAATTTTAAAGAATATACTGAGAATACTTTTCATAATTCTGTTCCATATGAAAGAGTTTCCTTCAGTCGCCAAAGGGTTTTTGAGGATACATATTTTTGGAACTATACATATAACAAAAGTACTCATAGATTTACTTAGTTGTGATTAAATAGATTTTTTAAAATGTCATTCCAGTTGTAACATTTACTTTAAATATATTTCAGTAGTGTTTATCTCAAATTTTTGAAAATATGTATAAAAAATTTCCTGTCAACTTAATGACCTTAGGCTGGCAAGTCCTTAGTAGTAGTTGGTGCATAATAAAATATTTCAGGCATTAATCTGCAACAAATTTTTTGAATTGAATATTTTATATCCTAGGATGCTGAAAAGGTGCATCATTTGTTACCATACTTACTTGACCCCTCAGCTGAATTTTTAAGATATGCTCTCTTAAACCGGGGAGGGGAGAATTAATTCTTTCCTTATCATTTTTCTGTGTTGTTCCTGCAGTAAAACGGTTCTTACGAATGGGCGTGTGCGATGAAACTCAGTGTTTTCATGTTCGCTTTCATGTAGGGCGACATATGTGACCCTCCCTTTGTGAAGCTGCTGTTTGAAACGGAGAAAATAGACATGGTCCTGCACTTTGCGGCGCAGACACATGTAGGTAAGCGTCGTTTTGTGTTACGGTTACGACGGGCAAATTATTCCTTCCAGTGGCTGATTAGCCTACGTCAAAGCGCAGTCCTGGGGTGGATCGAGTAGGTACTTGTGTGTGCGTCTCAGAGAGAGCACAGACCGCACTCCACCGGAAAACAAGCCGCGGTCACTGTGCCATCGAGATAACTGTTGTTTTTCAGGACATTTCTTTTAGGGGAGGTTGAAATACAGCCCTGACTGCTCTCTTAAAACCGTGAGTTTAACCAGATTCAGCGCAGCGATTACTTCTGGGCCGACGGACGTCCAAACTGTATTTGTTGTTGTTGTTTTTAATCTGGGCGTTGGATACACATTTGAACATTATATCATTGTACTTTTTTGTGCACCTGAGATTCTTCTCATAGTTTGTCTAGCATTTTATAGTGTGAAGTGTAAATATTCGGAAGAATGTAGAAGGAAGATTAAATGAATGCTGATACTGCGAACACCCACGTAGCCATCGCCTAAGCAAAAGACAGAATGTTGCTGAACCCTCTTTAGCTGTAGTACTACTGCTGCTTGAACCTGACTTCAGAATTATCATTTCTCTTGGTTTTCTTGGAGTTTTGCTGTCTGTGTGTTTATTCCAAAACAGGATAGGTTTTGCCTGTTTCTAAAATGTTATAAAAGTGTACATAAAAAATAACACGGAGGTTTTCTGGTCGTGCTTTTTCATCCAGCTGGACTCATCCACCTAGTTGAGTGTAGGTGTGATTTATTCATTTTCGGCGACATAAAAATATTTCATTCTGAGTATACACCACGATTTGTGTATCAATTCCACTACTGATGGACGTTTGGATTGTTTACACTTTGGGCAGTTCTCAGCAATACTTCCATGAACATTCTTGCCCACATGTACTCTATTCATGAGTATTGAAAAGAATGTGTCATCTGCAAATGTTGGGTACATTGAGATTACGCATTTGTTGTGTTGAGTTGGCTAGCCATGGTCTCCAAATCTCCCGTCTGTTTCTGATGGATTGAACTTTCTGTCCTTATGGAATGATCTTTCTTCCTTGGTAACGTCAAGGAAGAACGTCAACTTCCTTGAAGTCAGTTTTGTCTGACATCAGTGTAGCTGTGTCACCTCTCCTTTGGTATTATCTTTATGATGTGTCTTTTCCTATCTTTTTATTTCTAACCTTCCTCTGACTTTATGGTTTAGCTGTGTGTCTTACAAACAACTTATGTTTGGATTTTTTTTAATCTATTCTCACCATCCTTGGTAGTTACTCTAAACACTGAGTTTGTTGACCTATTTGGATATATTCCTATCATCTTATTACCTGCTTTCTATTTTTCTCACCAGTTCTGTTTCTCTGCTTTTTAAAATAATTCTTCTACAGCTTTAAAAAAATACCTTTAAAAAATCCTTGCTTGCTCTTTTAAGGACTTGACTGAGGAGCTTTTCTTATTCGTTTTTCTTCCTCTGCTAGCTCGGAAGTTATGTGTTCTGCCTGTATTCTGTGAGTGGCTTCCCTAGAAATTGGAACATGTGTAACTAGCTTATCAAAGCCCAAAGTCCGTCGAAACCTCTGCTCGCCTCCCAAGTAACACAAAGACCTTATTAGACACTTTAACTTGACTTCTCTATTATCAACCCTGGTGTTTGTTCTGTTCCTTGGATGAAACTGTTCTAGCTTTTTCTCTTTTTTTAGATCTTTCATTTGTACGTGCCTTCGAGTTTACCTACGTTAATGTTTACGGCACTCACGTTTTGGTAAGTGCCGCTCATGAAGCCGGAGTGGAGAAGTTCATCTACGTCAGCACAGATGAAGTGTACGGAGGCAGCCTTGACAAGGTGAGCTCAGAACACATCTACTCCCCCTGCTTCCCGTGGAGCCTGGAACAAGCCTGTCTTAGTAAAACCTGCTCTGGGCTTTTCTCCATCCTCCGATCGCACACCCTCGTGGGGCTCTCCAAGTGGCCTTCCATCATGCCATCAGTACGATCAGGTGGTGCCGCCCCACTGGCCACAGCGGTCCTCTGGGTGCAGGCGTGTGTGTGATTTGACAAGAGAGCAGCCGGTTGCTTCTTTGGGTCCCAGTCTTGCATACACGGTGACTGTTATTCCCTCGGGCCAAAGCACGTGGGCGTCAGGCTGCAGCACACGGCCTGGAGGCGCGTGCGGGGGTGAGATGCAACTGCCGTGGGACGGGGTCTGTCCTCCGCTCCTGGTCGTTCGTGGATGTCGCTCTCTTCATGCAAAAGGATGGCTCCATTTTCCAGTTCACATTTTTCGTGGTCAGCAAGTGACCTCATTCTGTTTAATTATTTTATTTTTACCAAAACTCATGTATAGCGAAAAGAATCAAGTGGTTTGAAAATACTTACAGTGAGAAAAAGCAGACCCTGACCACTTTCCAATCCACAGTCCCATCCCGAGAAGCAGCCGTTTTCACTTCTCCTTGCCATTTTTATAAGGCTGTCTTGTTCCTTTTTGTACGTTGCCACGCTACACCAGAAGTGACACGGTAGCCAGAATGATATTTAAAATGTCAGTAAGGTCATGACATCACCCCGTTCCCACTCTGTTACTGTTTTGGGGCCGGCCTCCCTCCAGCCCCCAGCCCCATCTCCCACTCCTCTCCCCTCTCCCGAAGCTCCTGGCAGTTCCTTTGGACACACTTCTGTCGCAGGGCCTTCACACTTGCTCTTCTGCTCTTGCCTTCCAGGGTTGTTGTGAACTTTGAATAGGTTACTCTGCAGTACATTCAAGTGCTTGGAAAAATGCTGGGCATGTAGTTGGGGCTCATTAATGTTTTTTAACACAGTGATTAACATTTCAAGTTTGTAATAATATTTTCTGATTTTTCTACTTAGAAAGTGTGCGTAATACTTACCTTTAAATTTATCTTATTAAATTTAGGAATTTGATGAATCTTCACCCAAACAACCAACAAATCCTTATGCATCCTCTAAAGCAGCTGCTGAGTGCTTTGTACAGTCTTACTGGGAACGATATAAGGTAAGAACTGATTTAAAAACTCTTGAACCATTTTTCTTTGGACTTAGGTGATGAAACTTGAAGTTAGCATTAGCAATGTTTTATTTCTAGAGTAGAGGACACATATTGGGAAAAGTTATATGTTAAGGAATTCTAAAACACTGGTTTTCTATGCCATGGGGGTGAAGTAGGATGTGCTGCTTCTTCAGTTCACCATTTAAAGGACTGATTTGTACACACACGAGAGTGTTTTTCCTCCTCAGTCACAGGGCGAGTGTTTCAGCTCTAGTGAAAAGCCCCATTCTGAGTGAAGGCAAACAGAGGGAGGGCAGTTTCCCCACCCCTGTGTGCCCCCCTCTGCATGGCCCACCTCTCTTGGCTCCTCGTAAGTGGGAGATGTGTTCCCCGGGAGGTTCTGTAGTGTCGGTGTGAGAGCCTTAACCAACCCGAGTCACTGACTCGAACGCCCACGCTGGGCCCCGCACTGCTCTTCCCCGGGAGTTCCCCGGAACTGGGTCCCAGAGGCAAGCCCAGGGCTGACGGCGGGTCGCTCGCCTTCTGTGTTCCAGTAGCATCGGTCCTTTTCTCTTTTCATGGCAGGTTTTTTATTTGCAAGAGTTGGTTCAACAGGGAAAGCCAACTTGAAGTTTAACATCTAACCAAACCTGGAGTCTTAGAGGTAGTCTCTGAAACGACCAGCTGCAAATTTCCTTGATTTTCTTATAGCAAACTTAGAAACCTGCCCTCATCTGTATTTATCCTCCGCTTATCCCAGTAAAGGAAAAATTCCCCTCCTTCCCTTTGGAGCCTCTGCCGTTGTCTGAATCCCATTGTCTCCTGACTTTTCAGGAGCCTTACATTAGAAAAAGTCCCTTCACTTCTAGCCTTGGGGTGTGTGGAATTATTCAGCCAGAAGTACCATATTTTAAAGCTTTAACTTTAGGTAATCATTATTTGGGACCTTTCCGTTATCTCAATGTCCAATGCTCTCAGTTTCCAGTTGTCATCACAAGAAGCAGCAATGTTTATGGACCACATCAGTACCCAGAAAAGGTACATTTTACTTCTGAATTTAGTGTTCATCAGTGATCGTAACTTACTGCTTGTAATAACCTCTCTTCGGTCATTTGTTCAGAATTCATGTAGTAATGATATGTAATCTATAAACGTTACATAGGTCACCTGCAGACCTATGTAAACCTTCCTGGTTTAAAGTTTGAAGATTTGAGCTTAAGTCTCAACCTGATACTCAACTAGCTGGCATGACCTCGGGCCCTTTGAGCATTGCCTTTAAATTGAGGAGTAGCAATTATATTGAGCAGGATTTTGAAGGGTCCGGTGAGATGATGTGCGTGAGAACGCCTTGTACTTTGTGGGAGTCGCCAGCACTGGGGAGCCCTGCCCTCGCTGCCGCCCGGCCACAGTTCAGACTCCGGTTTGCAGTCAGACCCGTGTGTCAAGCTGTGCAGAACGGAGACGCGGGCAGGGAGTGGCGTGGGAAGCTTGTGCAGACATTTCTTAGACCCCACGGCTGTGGGATGATAGCGTGGAATAAAGCCTTTCCAAGTGGGCACAGACACCACACAGCAGATCAGTCACTCCAGTCCCCGGAGTCCCAGACAGGCTCAGTGACTTCCGAGGGCATTTCGGAAAATAGGGCTCCAGAGCCGCACGAGTAGTGAGTAAAGACACGCGGGGGGAAGGAAGAGAACGCCCGGCTCCGTGTCGTTAAACCACGTGTGAGTCACCGGTGCCCTCTCTCTGCCCAAGTTTGCAGACTGGGCTTTTCGCTTCCCAGCTGGACGCGCTCACCTGTTTTCCCAGAGGAAAGGGCCCTTATCGTGATCTGCTGGTAGTAATATCTGCTTCACTTAATTTATACAGTGTCTTCAACAGGTCTATTACAAATTTAGTAATTTATCTCGCTCTGTTTAACATAAATTTCCTTTGAATCCAAAGCGCTGGAATAGTCTTTTTTAAAGACTTTAATTTCCCAGGCACTTACTGAGTAGGTGTTATATGTAAAGCAATAACTAAGATTCCTGCTCTTGTAAAAATCAACACAGAAGTGAGGTTTGTGATGAAAGCAATTGTTCACAAAGACTTTTTCTGAAAACAGTATAAACAGTGGAACATGTTTATGTATTTTAGTATTTTCGTAACAGTTAACTTGCTTTGTGAAATAGGAAACCATCTTAGAGTTCTTTCACTTATCAAAATTATAATAGGTTTTTCTTGAACTGCTGTTAAGAATTGAAATGTATCTATATGTATATTTCTTAACAATAACAATGTTTTAATTTTATGAGTGCAAATATGCATTAGCAAATCCCAAAGTCTGAAATGATATTTAAATATTCTTTTAGGTTATTCCAAAATTTATATCTTTACTACAACACAACAGGAAATGGTATGTTATTATTTACCTTTGTACCAAGATGTTTTTCTGATGTTGTTACTTATTCGGTGACAGTCTTTCTGGAAAATCATAAGTCTTGGTGTTGGAGGCCATGGAATTGGATGTCTCAACAAATTTAAGAATTCATTCTACAATCCGTGTAATAGTTTACTTTTTAAAAATCATGTATTTGGTTTCAGAGAGGAGGAAAAGGAGGGAGAATGGGAGGGGGAGGAACATCGATGTGAGAGAAGAACACCCATTGGTTGACTCTCACAGCTCCCCAGCCAGGGACCCAGTCGTCACCCAGGCCTGCGCCCTGACTGGGAACCGAACCAGCGAGCTTTTGGTCCATGGGCCGTGTTCAGTCCACTGAGCCATGTCGGCCAGGGCGAGTTTTTTAAATAAGTATAATCTGTAATTCATCTTTGCAGTTTATTTACTAAGATAATTTCAGTTCTTAAGGGACTAAGCAGAAACAAAAACGAAAACCCCAGACCAACCTACAAACAGAACGGATGGTGATTATCAGAGGGAAAGGGTGGGGGGAGGATGAAGAGGGTAAAGCGGGGATACATAGTGACGGAAAAATTTAGTGCTTAAATGATTTATCCTGGAACTTTTACTCATCGTGTAATATTTGACATCAATCTTTATATGACTTTTTGAAAAGATTTAATTCATAGAACTGTAGATATTTCTTCAAAATGAATTTAAGGCATCCAGTTGATGAGAAAATATTTCTCAGGGGTCACTTACATGTTTGCCATTTCCCCCTGAGGGTGCCAGAGGTCATTTAAGAACTCGGGATGAGACTCAGAAAAGTGGGGACGGCGTCTTTTCAGTAAAAGATCTCCAGGGTTGCCATGGGAATTGTCTTTTCTGGAGTTGCACCCAGGTGTTGCCTTGCTCTGGCTTAGGAGAGCTTATGTTTTACGTTTTATGACTCCCTTTTATTTAACCTTTTTAGCTGCATTCATGGATCAGGGCTTCAAACAAGGAATTTTCTTTATGCTACCGATGTCGTTGAAGCATTTCTCACTGTCCTCAAAAAGGGGCAGCCCGGTGAGATTTACAACATCGGGACCAACTTCGAGATGTCGGTGCTGCAGCTGGCCAAGGAGCTCATCCAGCTGGTGCGTAAGTGCCGCCTCAGGGCAGCGTTGCAGGGTCGTCTCAGTGGCAGGGGTCACTGCTTCAGTCAAAACAACAGTTTTCCGTTTATTCTGGTGAGAAGCGAGGATTGGGAAATAAAACTTATAACTACGTATACCAGCGATTTTCCACTGGTGTGCCACAACGGTTTTCAAGCGTGTAGCCCCTGACTGTTTAGTCAGGGGCACAGACCTCTTTCCCCTTAGATTGTGGGATAAAAACATGACAGCAGCCAACACAACAATAGCTGTCCAGTGTAAATGAATCAAAATCACACCTGTTTTTTTGTCAGACCAGTAAAAAGGATCATGTATTTTTTTTGTGCCGCAGAATTTTACTTACTAGTTTGCGTGTCCCACGGGATGGAAACGGTTGAAGAGCGCTGTGTGCGCCATCTGGGTGCCGAGATGCCATGCGAGGTTCTGGCGCCCACATAGCAACAGCTGTTTCGGGGAAAAATTCCCAGTAAAAGACATACTTCAATTTCAGAAATGTGAAGTTGTGCCCTAAAACCAAAGAACAACGAAATGATATATAAACAATTGTAGTTGTGAGTGCAGGTGTGGGTTCCTGAATGTCAGTGATGGAGTACCTCAGGACTCAGCAGACAGGAAGACTGAGCACATTGAGAAGCTCGTTCTCCTCTGCACTGTCACCGGAGTGTCCCATGCTCCCAGTGCGGGTGCTCCACATCCAACACTCATCCGGTGCCGGCAGGGTGTCCTGCAGTTTAACTCAGTGCTGATGTTACCTGCCTGGAGGCAGCACCAGACCCCAGGGGTTGTGGAGTCAGCCCTGCAAGACTGCCCTCGGTTCAGATGCCAGTTGTGACACCTGGTTGTCCCTGTGCTCCTGACCAGCAGCTATAAACCAGGGGTGATTTGCTGGAGTGGCTCACAGAACTCAGGGCAACAGTTTACTTTCTAGATTACTGGTGTACGGGGTCTGCCCAGAAGGTATCCAGCCATGTAATATGAAAAAGAGAGACATTTATTGTGTCTTACACAAGATACACGAAACGTTGCACGTAGGACAATGACACCTCAGTCCCCTTCAAAGTGGGCACCTTGGGACCTCACACAGTTCTCCCAATTGTCATCAGTTGCCTCATGATATTTTCCTGAGTGCCACCAATGGTCTAGAGTAGACTCCCTTCCCTTTTGAAGGTGATTTTAGTTTTGGGAAAAGCCAGAAGTCACAGGGCACTAGTTCTGGGCTGTAGTGGAGCTGAGTCACCTGGGTAATTTGATGTTTCACCAAAAAACTGCATGAGATGTGATGCTTGAGTGGGGGGAATTGTCGGGATGAAGCTGCCAATCACCAGTAGTCCATAGCTATGGCCTTCTTAGTCATTTGAATAGTTTCTGTGGAGGAATGTTCAAGGTTAACACAAAATTGGATGCTGATTCATTGCTGTACTTGCTCAGTCATTTTGAATGTGATGGCCGCACAGTGCACATGCTCACTCAATGGCATCTACCACCCCCACTGACTAGTGCAGTGAAGTCATTGTTCACACGTGTGCATTCCAGTCCACTCTCCTTGGCTGCCAGGTTATATCGATGTCTCCCATTCTCGTTATGTTAACAATGGCTGGACTTTTCCCAGACAGACCGTGTATTAGACTGTAACTCAGGACCAGCCAGATGGAGGACACACGTAAGGGCGACAAGGCACGAGGGAAGGGGCGTGGAGTGTGCACGCTCTCCGTGGGCGTGCCCCCCCCACCTTAACAGGCTGGGAGCTCTCCGTGGAGGCTTTTCCGAGTAGGCATGATTGACTGACTGGCTGCAGGAGGCTGGTCCAGCCTCCTGCCCCTCTCCCTCCTCCTCTCCCGGGTGTGAAGGGGGCGGGGCTGAGTTCTGTCCCTCTAATCACATGGCTGGTTCCCCAGGAAAATAGCCCCCGTCCTTGTGGACCTCCCAGAAACTCCCGTGGACTCCAGTGTGGTTGAAAGGGGCTTGCCGTAAACAGCAAAAAGACTGTCTCATCACTTAGGAAATCATGAGGGTTCTGGGAGCTCTGTCAGGAACGGGGACAACTGAGCGTATGTTTCTTATTATAAATCACAGCATCACACTGAGTAATCACCAAAAGCCAAAAAAGTGTATTTTCTGCCATAGTATACAACGTGTATTAAATGAGCTTTAGGCAGAATTTGGGTCATAAAGTACCAGTGGTGTTACTGAGACGCTGTTCGTCTCCGCGGCTTTGACAGGTTGGGTTTCTCACCCCTTGACTCTGCCAGGGACATTGTCATCGTTCTCTGGTCTCATTTTGTAATTGAACTCAAAAGCCTTCTCTCTTCTGACAGATCAAAGAGACCAAGTCGGAGTCTGAAATGGAAAGCTGGGTTGATTATGTCAGTGACAGGTGAGTAGCAAGTGCCAGCACTGGGGAAGGACTGTGGAACCTTAGGTTCTTACAGGATTACGGAATACAGGGAATGGACCCAAACCAGTTGGCTTGTTTTGAGTTTTCTACCAAAATATTTTTATGATTACAAATGTTGTAAGAATAAAGTGTAACATTCTTACATGCTAGGTCTGTGGTTTACAGAGAGAGTTATTGACCCTTTCCAAGGCTGAGGTTTCCTCGAGTGTGAATTAGAGAAAATAACATCTCACTGTTTACAAAGAATTTTAAGGTTTGATTATAAATACAAAGTGCCCGGCCCAGGGTATGGAACACAAGAGCCCTAATAAGTGTGTATGTACTTATTTATTCATTCGTGAAACATTTAGGTGTTACCCACTGCAGTCATGCCAGATTGTGCTGACATAAGAGGACAGGCCGTGGAGATGTTAGGTCTCTGGGATTATAGATACATTTTTAAAAGACTTTATTTACTTATTTTTACAGAGAGGGGAAGGGAGGGAGAAAGTGAGGGAGAGAAGCATCGACCAGTTGGAGGCCTGGCCCGAAACCCAGGCACATGCCCTCCCTGGGAATCACACCCGTGACCTTTGGATTCCCAGGCTGGCGCTCAGTCCACTGAGCCACACCAGCCAGGGCTAGTTTCTTAAAAATAAATACTTTATTTTACAAATGTTCTATGATCATGTTATCAGGGAGAATTTTTTTTTAATTGAATTGTGGTAAAGATGCATGGACACGTTATTTCTCATAATATTCAGATATGCAAATATATTTCCATGCTGTCATTTTAAATCTGTTTTGTTTTCCAAGACCTACGAATGACATGAGATATCCAATGAAGTCAGAGAAAATACACGGCTTAGGATGGAGACCCAAAGTGCCTTGGGAAGAAGGAATAAAGAAAACGAGTATGTTATAAATTGGCCCCTGGGGGGTAGAGGGTTTCGAAAAATTTTTAAAAAGAAGTAGTTTATTTTTAGAACGTTACAAATTCAGTGGAATATTTTGATGAACCATTTTTACTTTTCAGATTGTTATATTTAATATATTTTTAACAATAGAAATACATTTCCTAAGCATCTTGAATTTCATAGATTAACTTCTGATCAGTCTTCCTATATGTTACTAGCATTTTTCAGATTCCTGGCTCATTGATTCTCAGGTGTACATTCTTTATTCTTTTCATACCCTTGAAAGGTATGTGTTTTACAATCACTCACGTGTTAAGAGTATTGCAGCTTTTTTTTTGGTATGTAAAACTGTGGTCCATCTTAAGTGACATCTTAGATTTGATGAAATATATAGTGTCAAGTCTTTTTATATTAAATAGGAAGCAGATTGACCATGTGCAGAATATCTACTAAAATAAGTGTATATAAGTATATGTACGTTAAAGTTCTATTTAGAAACATACTCATGAGAAAAAATATGTTCAAGCATAAAGTCTTGATTCAGAGCTTAAAATACAAAATACTAGTGTTACATTTTAAAAAGCAAATTAAAAGATTATTTTTAACTAAAAAAACTTCAATGCTGGTACAGCAAGATAAAATAATTTCACTTATTAACTGAGGTAAACTCAGATTATCTCACTGTGCCTGTGATGTGGTGTTGCTCTACATTTATGTAAATGAAACATTACACTTATTTCCTATAACTTTCAAACCAGTATAAATGACTTTATCTGCCTTTCTCCCTGAATTTCTTAAAATGAGAATGTCTTAAATACTTATACCAGCAAATTCAATATAATACTTTTGAAGTTAAAAAAAACAGTTGAGTTTTAAATCTGAATTTTCAGATGATGAAACATTTTCTGATTGTTAGTTCAAGGTCGAATTGTTTTGTCTTTAGACCGCCCTTGCCCGCCGGGAGACTGTTGGGCAAGACTCTTCTTACTGACCGGAACCCAGTCAGTTTTGGCTCACTGATGTTTAGTGTTTTAATTTTGATCTTTGGCTTTTGTTTTCTCTCCTATCAGTTGAATGGTACAGAGAGAATTTCCACAACTGGAAGAACGCGGAAAAGGCGTTAGAACCCTTCCCAGCACAGCCGCCGTTTGTATAGACAGGACAGTTTTTGGAAAAGGAAGAACATCACCCTACCTCAACAAGAGATACGAAATCAAGCGACCAAATGAAGTGTCTTGTTTTCATTTGGAATCAGATTCATGACTTTTTGCATAAAATTCAAAATTTTTATCAATCTTGAGAAGAGTTTCAGTATTAGCATAGGATTTAAATATCAAAATTCTTTCAGAAGCCTTTTCCAAATTAGGGACCAGAAGGCACAGACAGAGCCCTGCACCCGGTGAGCCGGGGAAGAGGGCCCCGGATCTGGGAGCAAGGACGCCAGAGCTCTGGGTGGCCGACAGCTTTGCCTTTGGTGACTCAGCCAGCAGCCCAGTCTCTCCCACTGCCGGAAAAGACTGAGGTCTTCACGGACAAAATAGTGTGCCCTGATTCATCTTTTTTTTTGAAGATATGCTCTTGTACTACATGAGGTTTGAAAATGGAACAAAATGGAAGCACTTTTTAACTTTGGGTAATTTTGCAATATTAAGTTAAATGTTTTTTAGAACAAAGGTGAAGTTTTTATATTTTCAAAATCAATCATTGAACTCTGTATAAGTAACCACATACTGGAAATTGTATTACGTACTTAGTGTTTATAATGATTTTATTTATAAAATGACCAATATTTTAATGTATTTAATATAGAGCCTGTTTTTTAGTAATGTATGTCTTTATTTTGCTGTAGAAAAATTTTAAAATACTTGATCATGTATTTTTAATTTGTCTCTCCTCTAAAGACCTTAAGATGATTTGAAAAATGTAACTGATTGGATATTACATTGAAAAATGGAAAAGAGTCAAAAACTACGCCCGACTCTCTGGCTTCGGTGCGTGATTGATGGTTGTTTACTCTGTGAAGTAGGAAGCCAGGTTGGCTATTAACGCATAGGTGGTTGAGGGAGCAGGTAGGAAGGGAATAAGGACCTTGAGGAAGTGGAGTTGGGAGAAGAGCAAGCAGACCCAAAATTAGTAAGAGGATTTGCCTGACACACACAAAGTGAAGTTGAACACTGATAACTGTAGAATTTTGAGATTTGTAAAGGTGGTTAGATTGAGCCGGAATTGGACTAGTATGCGTCAGGTCGGGCAGGAGGAGAGTGAGGTTAAGGGAACTGATGCTTCGCTGATCTTAGATGCACGGGGAAGGAAGTGCCCCTGGAGGGAGCCTGGAGCCCTAGGAGGAAGGGGTCGGGAAGCAGGCGTAAGGGAGGCTGGGGTGAGAGCTCAGGGAGAGGCCGTTCCAGGCACAGAGAGAGCCACCCGGCAGCAAAGGGTCTGTGGTGGAGTTTGGTCACTGAGGGTGGACGACAAAATAACACTGCGTCCTTTATTCTTGCACATATTTTTGTGTACACTTTAAAAAAAAATTCCTCACCCATGGATATGTTTATTGATTTGAGAGAAAGAGGAAGGGAGGTGGGGGAGGGAGAAAGAAACATCAACGTGAGAAACATTGATCTTTTGCCTCCCGTAAGCACCCTGGCTGGGGATTGAACCTGCAACCTAGGTATGTGCCCTGACTGGGAACCCAAGCCACAGTGCTGTGGGGCACAGGACGATGCTCCAACCAGCGGAGCCACCCCGTCAGGACTTGTGCACACTTTTATTTCCAACTTTAATGCACTCACTTTACCGTTTGTCTAATCTCAGGAGATGACCTTGACAGACATTAGGAACATATCATGGAAAACCAGTTTATTTTTTTTAAATGCAAACAAGTTTAAAAGAAATTAATCTTCCCTCTCATAGGTCACAAGGAAAAGGCAAATGAAAACGAGATCCCCCTACACACCTATTAGCCCAAAATCTGTAACGCTAGTACCACCCAGTGCTGACAAGGGATTCCACTATTCGTGGCATCTAGAATTTAAGACTTAGTAGAGGTTCACCAGGGGCTGGGGGCTGGGTGGAGAGGGAAAGGGGGAGTTACTGTTTAATGGGTACAGAGTATATTTGGAATAATGAAAAGGTCCTGAAAGTGATCATGGCCATAGTTTCACAGCGTCGTAAATGTACTTAATGTCACTGAAGTGTACACTTAAGGTAGTTAACAAGGTAGACTTTTTATTATGTATAGTTTATCATGATAATAATTTTTAAAAATGCGTCCTCAGACTAGCAGCATTGGAATCAGTTCTTAGAAATGCAAATTCCTGGCCCCATTGCAAACGTGGAATCAGCACCTCTGTGGGCGGGGCCTAGAGGTTCCGATGGACCCTGATGTCTGAGAACCACTGCTCCCTAAACAGGGTGGGGAGATCAGGCAAGAGGGGGATGATGGGGTGGCCAGGTCACACAGGGCCTTGTCTGCCACAAAGAGACGCTTAGACTTCATCTCCCTGTTACTGTAAAACAGTTGGGAGTCCGGGGGAGTCTCCCCCATTGGCCAAGGTGGCGGCAGCAGGGAGGTTCTTACACTGAGTGTGTGAAAAGCTAGCAAGGTGATTGGACAGGAAAAAGAAGCCCTGACCTTTCACCCCTTCTCACCATCCCTCCCACAGTACAAGAGTGGGGGTGGGAGCAGGGGAAGGCAGGCACATGCAGCATAGATGTCAAAAAGTCAAATAATATATATAATTATTTGAAAAAATCAAACATGGGACTATAATGAACATATTGTTTTAGAGTGTGCTTTTTTGCACTAAACGAACGGTTTTAAATGTTATGAGATCTTTGGCCACTTTTGCTGACAGCAGAATTACAGCTTTGATAGCTTATTCTGCTAACAGCGTGGAAGATGAGCTTACGGAAAGCAAGACTGAGCTCCTGCAGGGATCCGAGTCGTGAAGCTGTTGCTGTAAATCAGGCCAGTCACGGAAAGGCCCACAGCCCAGCACTGCCGAAAAGGGATCGTGTCGAGGACAGACGTGAGAGGCCTTCAGATTAAAAAACCAGATGATTAGACGTGGGAGGTGCACTCTCCCGACTTGGGTGGTATTTTAAAGTTGTAAATATCGCACTGCAAAGAGTGGAAAACGGTAAATTATGTTTGGGAGGTGACGAGCTTTAGATATCGGCGGGGTACGTGAAAGGAGACACCTAGCAGGAACTCAGAAATGAATTTGAAACTCAGATTGATGGGTAGGGTTCAAGACCTGCAGATTCATATGGGGTGGGCACAGGTAGGTTTACAGTTGCATCATGACATGCTTTTGAGTTAATAAAGCTATTGTAACCATCATCATCTGCATGTCTTTTTCTATATGAATGACTTTAAACCTACTTGTGCCCACCTCTATATTGATGAGTTAAATGGCTACTAAGACCCAGAGAGTAGATTAAAATATCCCCAAGGAGATCACACAAAAGAACAAGGCCGATGGTGGGTGTCATGATTCACAAACAAGCCATGAGAAATAACACCAAGGTATAAGTTTCAGGCAGAAGGACCGGAGAGATCAAGAAGGAATAGTTTTAAAAAATGGTCAGAGGAGTGGCAGACAACAGAAGGAAGTTATACCACAGCAGTCAAAGGGCTAGATACTCAACAACAAGCAGGTGGCCAGCTGAAGCTGGGTAAAGACTTGAAAAGCATCTGTTGGTTTGGGCAAGAGACAGGCAGAATTTCTAGGGTTGATTTAGTGGTGTGTGGGGCAGAAGGAGCGCATCCGGACAATAAAGACCGAGTAGTGATTATGAGACAGCACAGGAACTTGGGGCCGGGAGTAGAAAATCCAGGGTAGCCAGGAAGCCAAGTTCAGACCACATGGTCAGAGAGAGTGCCAGATAGGCCGACCTCAAGAATATCACCACCCTTCCATTCCCTACTCAAAAAAGCAGAGGGAGTCGATACCTCCCTTCTAACTGCCCATGTCGAAGCCACTGACCTGCACACGCGGTTGGTCAAGATGTGACCTCTCTGCCTTTCTAGGGTGGTAGTAATAACAGTCTGCCTTCTTGTCCACACAGTGCAGGCGAACAGTTACCAGGCAACTCAGCTGGAAAAGGAAGTCACCCTACCCTGCAATGGAAAATTTTCACAAGTCTGCCTTTTTACAAAGCCCACTTGGCCCCCAACTTATGCAAACAGCCAGGCAGAGCCAGCCGCCACGCCGGTTCAGAGGCCCTTCCTTCCGGTCCTCTATGGTGCCTTCCTTGTGCACGAGCACGAACTTAATAAAATCTTTCTGGAAGTGCCTCTGGGGTTTCCTCTCGATTTCTATCTTGAGGACCCCAAGCCTTAATGCCAGTTGCAAGTAGGGGTCTCGGAGTGGAGTGTGGGGGGCTACACACTAAACCTGACAGGGCCAGGGGAGACGGGCCTGGGGGGCGATACAGGCTCAGAAACCAGGAGGCACCCCGCAGGACCGTCTTGAACATAAAAATCCCGAACTGAAAGCGTGTCCTCAGGCAGAGAAGCCTCCTCTCCCAGACGCCTCCGGACAACCGCTGCTCTCGAGTGAGAGACCACAGCCCCTCTGTGTTACCTTGTTCCCCACACGCCACCTCTCTGTGCTGTAAACCTTAGTTATTAAGTGGTGTTACTCTATTTTCCTTTTTTCCAGTCCCAGAGATTTTCCTACTTTGCTTTCTCCCGCCCCTTTTATCTACCACCAGTAGATTTCATGTAACCCTCCTTACATCTCCTCTTATTCTCATGTTTAAGATAAACCACAAAACTGCCATTCTCTGGAACATTCCTCCATCTGTTGAGATTTTGCTTGGTGGCCAAGGTCAAGTTGGTTCAGATAAACTCATAAAAAAAATCTCTACAGGTTTTGACTTTTTACATCCACAGGGGCTGAGAAAATTCAAGATAGGGCCAGCCCTAAAGAGGGTAGAGAGTCCTGGAAAGTGTGGTGTGAGCAGTGTATTTGATCTCTGTCCCAGGCTCCTGGGACGGCACTCCTAAACTCCCAGGAATTTCCAGTGTTAGGAGTGTCCTTGTTACTCACAGGAGGCCCCGGGAAATCACACTGGAGTCGCGGCTGATGAGTTGACTCAGGGCGGGGCCCGTAAACAGCCTCACGATGGCTCTGGCCACCAGAAATACCAGATGATTAGAAAGTAAGATGTTTTAGACACAGAGCCTAAAAATTAAGGTCCGTAGAAACTCTTGAACAAAGAGATTTGATGAGCATCCAGGTTGGCGAACAGGTGGAGATGCTGGAGGGGCCTCACCTGGAGAAGGCCTGGGAGCTCTGTGCTTCTTTCCCCGCATCTTGCCCTGTGGGCATCTTCCGTCTGGCTGTTTATGAGCTGTAACCTCTCTAATAATTGTACATAAATGTTTCCCTGGGTTCTGTGAGCCTTTCTAGCAAATTATCAAACCTGAGGAGGGGGTCGTGGTGACCTGAAATTGACAGCTAATACTCAGAAGCACACATGACAACCTGGACTGGCGACTGGTGTCTGAGGTGAGTACGGTCTTTGCTTCTGGGACCTGTCGGTAGGTCCAGGTAGCTACGTCACAATTGAGTCGAATTGTAGGGCAGCCTGATGGTGTCCTCGGAGAACTGAAGAATTGCTTGGTGTGGGAAAAAAACGCACTTTCTGGTGGCCAGAAGTGTGATAATTATAGACAGTAATAGTAGTAGAGAGTAGAAAAGGAAATTGAGTTTTTCCCTTCGGAAGGGTTTTCAGAAACTAACTTCTCTCCCTCCCCCCTCCCCTCCCCCTCCCCTCCCCTCCCCTCCCCTCCCCTCCCCCTCCCCTCCCCCTCCGGTGGGGTGGGATTCTGTATGGTTCTGAATGGGAGACTGGGCAGTAGGGAAGGAAAGGCTGATGGTGGGCCAGGGGTGGGCGATTCGCGGGCCGCAGGGGACACAGGCCCCAGGGGAAAGCACTGGCTTGGGTGGAATGGGAAGGTGGAGTTTGCC